GCATTAATTATTAATCCCTGCTTGTGCTAAAAACTTGATGAGGGCTGTCTCCCTACCTGAGAAACCCACCTTTAACCAACCATCATGCACTTTCTATAATTACTCATGAAGACTGGGACCGGGTGGCAAATTTGTAGAAAACCTAACCTCGGGGTTTGAAAAAACAAAAGAGATTGACGAAAGTGGTGAGAGAGAAAGGAAAATAAGATCAACACTCTACGGACGTATATGGCACATGCATATTACATATGTATTATACACGTATGGTAAAACTTAGACAACCAACAATTACTACTTCTACTACCACAGACACGAGTCCGTTGCATGGAAAACTCATTTGCGTTTAGTGGCTGGCAAAGTGATGAATATTTGTACAAGGACTCTCACATGGAACTAATAAGCAGAACAAAGTTGACGCTTGCAGCAGCAGCATTTCCCCAAAAACTAGACCCCGTTTTACCCCATCTCTCAGCTCTGAGATATGTCTAAGACTTCTTCCTTTTCCTTATTGAGACTCTTTCTCTCTCTCTTCTGCTGCCTGCCTGTCTCTCTCGGAACGAAAGGAACGAGATGAGAATTCCTCCGAGAAATAAAGAAAAACGCTCAGAAAGCAACCAAGACAAGGTTTGGAAGGAATTCTGCACAAACACAATGCTCTGGCAGAGAGTATGTATGTAGGAGAGGGAGCGAATGCGTTCTGCCCTTCTCCGTCCACTTGCATTCATTGGTGGCAGATATCGTATTAAACCCATGTCCATATTGTTTAGAAAACAGCGGACGAGTGTGAGAATGAAACCGTCAGAATTTTAAGGAGCATTTTCAATTTGGTTGGATGTGCTATGAAAACTTTTCCTTGTGATTTTTATACGTATTTTCACTCTTAGGTGCGTATATACCTTATCTGCATTCCGGTCGTATTTAGATGCAAATGAGATACTTGTGCAATTCGCGTCCAGCAGCCTTCTTTGTAATGAAAGGTTTAATCAATCCTGAAGAAAGAAATTCATAAATACTTATTGGATTGAAATGATTTTCACCGGAGTTTTTTTTTTCTTCAAAAGAATTTAAATGTACGATTGGTGGATATATTGGCATCGGATTTTTAACCGTACCCGATTCTAAAAGGACCCTCTGAATATAGTGGAGGCTTAACTTTTTAGGAAAATTGACGTTGCATTTCAAACTTTCTCCAAGTTACACAAGCTGCTACTTTTATACATGCGCATAATAATGGTGTCAGGAAAAGCTCCTCTGAACTCTGCACCCATAAAGTGAATGATTCTTTGTTCCGTTTCATATTCCCAAATGACAAAGAAAAATTTGAAAACTCAGCCATTTTCCGAAACTCACTTTCACTCCGAGTCGGGTACAGGTGGGGTTGGACACGAAGGAAATGACTACAAAGTGAGGGAGCGTTTTATTGACATATTACCCACATTTCCGTTTTCAACCTCTCTCCCCATTATCCTTCACGCTATTCACCTCCCACCCATATTTTTTCCCTTCGTCCATTGTCACCATACTTGGCTGATATTTCCTCCTTCTAAAATAATTGTCACTCAAACCCTCTAAAGTCCACTCACTCGATTTTCCAATAACCACAGGTTTTCATACGTATAAATTGAGGCTTGATGAAAACCCACCAAATCCCATGCACATTTACTTCAAATAAGATTCCGTCTGTACTTACGTAAGAGGGGCTCTTGTACGTTTCGTTTGCCAACCAACCCTTTTCAACTTGTAATCTCTCCTATGCAAACAAGATATCTGCCGTGGGAGGCAGAATTTAGCGTGAAATCTCTGTGACATGTCATATGTATGATGGGTTCCTCAAATATCTTCCCTTTCCATCGAAAGCGCAATCATCACCACGCCTCGATAATCCCTTTTCTGTTAAAGATGATTTGCAAATGTGATGCGACGACGATATTGCTACGACGGTTTAACGTACCTACTTGCTTCAAAAACCAAGAATCTGAGAACTACGTCCGGCCTACCTCCTCCTTAATCCAGGAGAAAGACATAGAAAAATGGTGGGCTTTACGAGAGTCGTGCCTTCTTTCTCCTTTGCTATCTTTAAAGGTTAACGTAGATTCGGGAGTACATTTTATGCAAAATATTTTATAGACTGGAACTATTTGCAGGAAGTAAACTGAGTTTAAAACCTGGTGCGTTTTTCCTGGTGTGTCAACTACTTAGTAAAATTTCAAAGGCAAAGATGCAGTGTCTCGTCGCCGCGTCATTGTAATTCGCTCGTTGACTCGTTATGTATGCCTTCTTCACTAGAACTACGGGAGAACTATAAAATAATGGGATGTAATAACCATACGGGGAGATGATAGTGAATAAATTTGAAAGATGTAGATCTAAAGGGGAAGAAGCTGTCGGATGTCCTTAGATGACAACAACTTGTGGGGCGAACTTGAGAAGAGCGCTGAATTGAGGGTTGTAAAGTACTTGGGATTGCTGCGCTATTAACTTTATGAACAATCTGCAAATCACTGCGACGCTTTTTGACTTTATACGTATACAAAAGCGTTTCCTTGCCATGCACCAAACCTAAATTTTTTAAGAGGACCCTCTTGCGCTTAATTAGCACAATCCTGATGAATGTCAAACTTTCAAGGTGCCGCAATATAAGGATGAATGAGGGCCACAAAAAAGCAAGGAGTGGAGAACCATTTATTATCGCACAGAGCGAGCGATTCTTTTTATGAAGTGCCTTGAATAAAATATAACAATCCGTCCGTAGAACTAACTGTAGAGGTCTGAGATGTGCACGTCCGTTTATTTACTCAGTTTCTTATCTGTTGAAAAATATTATTGTTACCAATTTCATCAGCTTGAAGGTAAACTAAATATTTATTTAAACCCTCGCATCCAAATTTGCAACTCGTGTTTTATTGCAAAGCCCTGCTGCCTAGAAGAGGAAGCACGGAGGAGAAAGGTCATAAAAAGTTTCATTGTTATGCTGCTTCTCATCTCATTTCATCCGCGGCACGCTCGGAATATGTACGTGTATCTCCACCAAGAGAAACCACATACTTATCTCGCTCTGTGTATCTATTTACAATTCTGGCCTAAAACATGTCATAAGTCACTCCTCAAAAAGGCTGTTTATGACCAAATTTTGATGGCCCTGTTTGCCTCTAGGTCACAGTTTTGAAGCAAGTGTTGCAGTGAAAGGGAGGGTGGTAGAATTTAGGGAGTAAATTATGATACTGTAGCAAAATGCCCTCCTGTCCTTGGCTTTCTCTGCCAACCCACCATCCCCGTTTAGCCAACATGCTGTCCTTTTGGTGCACGGGTTTCTCTTCTAGAACAGACGCGATATTCCAGCCTGGTTCACATCATCGTCCGCGAGCACGATGTTTCTTTCTGAATGAAATCGTTGATCGCTTTCTCTCCGTCTCCACAGGTCGGCCACATAACTCGGAATTAGAGTCTTTCTCGGGGAAAGAAGCATTAGTTAAGCTTGGCCAGAAGACTCGGTCGCCAAATGATTACAAAGTAACCAAACGTCTCGCTGGCACAAGAAAATATTGTCGTGTGTAAGAAGAAGAAGAAAAAAGAGATGCAATTACCGAGGGTTCAACGGTTCATGGTTTTGATATTATTTTATATTTCGTGTGCTGCGTGTGTTTCATTTCTGTGATGATGATGATGAAAATAATAATAACACGCTTAGTCTTAGTCAGGCATCTTAGAGTTTTGTTAGTTTTTATGCCATCGTTGAGGAATTTAGTTTGGATCTAGTTAGTTGTAAGTTGTTAGTTCGTCTACAAAAGAAAATGCTACAAATAGTTTTTGAAACTTTTCGATGCAGATCAATCGTGGTGACAGTAGTTTTGTTCCCGGATTAGGATTTGCTTTGAATGAAAATATCCAGCCCGACTGCACCAGAAGAACCAACAGCAGAGCAAAATTTGCGTAGATCGGCAATAGAATAAAGTTTTACTTACTTTTCCTTCTCGTGTTCATCAACATGCGTCAAAACACGCATCTTTCTGCTTACACTTTTAGGTCGTAATCATAAATTGTCATGCAGAGGGGACGCACGAGAAATTCAGTCTCAAGAGTAGGAGAATACATGCACCTTTTTGATATATTTATGTTACTTTCAATTTTGGACGCTTGTAAATTTGAGCGACACAATGCTCATTCCTGCCACGTCAATTTTTATGATATGATCTACAATTTTTCAAAGTGAATAGTAGAGGAATGTGCTGATATCAAAACTTTAAGCTCAAGTTATAAATATGATATACAAGAGATTTTGTACCAGCTTATTAAGTTGTGGTTGCATTGCAGAAATTAATCAACAAGGCTCAAATTCAACTGGACACGAACAAGTGAGTGAGGGGTACATATTTGTTAAGTAAACACGCATTATTGAATGTGGGCTGTGGAAGTTTGTGGTGAATCCCTCGTGAATAATTTCCAGCATTCGCTTTCACCATCACTTTTGCCCTTTTTGTTGTGAGGGGGAAAATAGGAGGAGGAGAAATGGCTTATTCGGTCTTTTACACAATGGGCTCATCCTCGATGTACTGGATGGACGAACTTTTTCTGCTGGTACTCGAAACTCAATTTCGTGTGCACTTGACTTTTCTACAAATACATTCTCGTTGGTACACGTACCATTAATAAATTCCAGTCAATTATGGATGGGCCGTGGGTGGGCATTACTTATCTATCTATCGACTTGGACTTAATATATTCAGGTGCACGGAAGGATAAAATGCATTCGGAGCCAATACACTTTTTCACCAGCAGGTGCAGAGAGACACGTTTCTTTCTTTCCAATTTGATGATACAAATCTCAAGTTTAAAATACTCTCTCTCGACACACACTACAGTCTGCTGATGTTCTACATATGTAGACATTTGGCGAATAGTTTCGTACTCCAAATAAAAATAAGTTGAAAGAGAAAAACTTTGGCTTACCAGTAAAATGTTGGAGATTCCTTGTACTCCCGAGTCTCTAATGGAGAGGTATGCAGTCAAATGCAGTCATTTGCTTGAATTTTCACCTGGAAAAGTTCAGTTGGAGTCAGTTGATTTGTATTAAACTCTGTGAAAACCTGTTTTCCAAGGTCTCATCTGGAATTCTGCGGTAGCAAACCACTTAAACAAATGAGAATGTCCTTCTAATCTCATTCACAACTTTCACAGATAAACCGTGTGCGTCCAGCAAGATGTCTTTCGTTATACCCCTGAGAGACGATGGCTCTGTGCATTTACTACATATTTCCACAAGTTATTCCCAATTTAATGTTGTTAATTAACAATAATTACCAAATGATAATTTCTCCACGTTTAGCGTTTCTAATCCACTGTCCAATAAAATGACACGGCTAATCTGTTTGTGTTTAATTACTTTGCAGACCAAAGTACAGCTTAGATAAAATGACTTTAATTGTCGTACTCAGCAGCAATAAGTAATAATGCGAGTGGCCCACATTTTAATTGCTATTTTGTCCCGAGTCTGTATAACAATGTTTGCAGTGCTTGGTGGCAAAAACAACACGCTCTCCCTGCTAATGAGCGATTATAATTAAACATTTAATGAAGTGGTTCGTCCGCTCTTTCGCCATTGATTAATTTGCTACAGACAAGTCTGGTACTTGAATTTCTTTTTTAACAGAGTGCAAAACTCTCAGGCTGAGTGGTACTCGGAAAATTGTAGAGCAATAGGAACAATTAGATCATTATTAAATGTTGATAAATGGATCGTGTGTGAAGTAAGCATAGTCCTTTCAGTGTTTTTAAGCTAACACGTAGACTTAACTGAAGGCTATTCAAAGAAAAAATATGAGTGGACTTATCGACACCAGAAAACTAAAATACTTTTATTAAGTAGACGATTTTTAGATTTTGTTCTATATTAATATCAGCAGGGAGCCAACTGCTTATTATTAGATTTTCACCATTTTAAAATATTTCAGATTCCGAAAAAGAACTAATTTTGAACCACACTTTGATCACACTTTGATAGAAATTAGTTTTATTGAGGCAAAATTGTCCCTTTTTCTACTTGTCGGATTTCAAATGCTGAAAACCTGTCATTCAGTTTAATTACAACTGCATATGAAAGAGAAAAAAATGTGCATACATATATGCATCATGTAACAAAGTCCTAGAATAAATATGATGCAATGATGAATTGTATAATTTACATTATGTTCATAGCATATGTACATTTGTACATAGGATCTAGTCATTCTCACCATCAGCCCAGGAGGAGCAAAATATGTCAATTGTTGGCACAAATTCTATACAAATTCTATACATATAGCGATTTGTTAGACACTTGATTTGTTCGATATATATATATTACTGGCATAATTATCTAAATGTTACTGCCCTTTATCAGAATTTCAAACGAATCCAACCTTAGAGAATGGATTATTAATTTTGAAATTTATTCAGCTTGGGTACAGTTTAGAAGCAAGAAAATATCTACGTAGAGTCACCCATGGCCATAACACTACTTGACAACGGTACAGTGACCATAAACTGTCGTATCATTAAAAAACTTGCCACAAGTGTGCAAGCAGGATTATTATTCCAAATTTTAGGGTCAGACGTAAAGCTGACCCAACTGGACCACAAGAGGATCGTGGGTAGAAAGAAGTGGAAGGAGATCAGAGAGAGATAAAGATCCTTCACTTCGAGTTCTATTGCTTTCCAGACGACCTCTGAGACGAGATTCACTTAATGGCAAAAAGATTTTTAGACCAGTCCGGTCCAGCACCTACAAAAATCCCCAACAATAAGACCACCATTCTACTCCGTCCGTACGTACTGTAGAACTGGGCAAGGAATCAAAATGAGTTCTTCGTAGTGTGTCTCTAACATAATCTCATCCTCTCATTGGATCTCATATTTAGCTCTAAAATTTACTTGGACCAGTCAAGTGAACAAAAAAGATTTCCACTTTGTCAGATAAGCGTTGGCTAATGGTTTCTTCAATTCTGAAAAGCTGGAATTAGAAAACATCTGGGTGGGATTTAACAAAGTGTTTAGCCCTTTGCAACACATCGTCTCCTCAAGACGAGAATGTGAGGGTGTAACGACAGTTAGTTTGCGCTGGTTGGTTGGTTATGGAGGATGAAGCAACGAGCTAGGATACGAAATATTGCTCCCTATCGTTTCTGGCTAAAAGAAGTCTCTGGTTTCCGCTACCCATCTATATCCTGTCAAACCAAACCTTTCTTTTCCGAGTTTTGAGAGATTTTCTTCCCTTCATGAATGAATGACTTCAAAGCACTTTTGACTCTTCCTCTTTTTTGATAGAGTTACCAAGAACATAATGGCAACTCAATTTTGTAGTTGAGACTTAGTTTTACCTAGTTTGGAAACTGAATTTGGGATTTTGGGATATGATTTAAGACATAATACTATTAAATTACTTTATACTGAAAATAACTTACTTCTAAAGTTTTCTCTTCTACGTATGTACATACATAAAAGTTAGTAAAAGGTGCATTACGAACTATCTTTTTCTTACATCTTTCTAAAATCCCTCACGGGGACCAGATTCGGTTCACTTTTTTTAACAAGGAGGAGATCAGATGCATGTGGGAATAAAATATGAAATATAATATCCGTGAATGAACTTGGTAAATATCACCTGGCAATGCCATCCCTACATACATACCCATTACCACACTTTACGTAATAATATTACAGACGGAAAAGAGTCCTGGACACCATTGGGCTTACTTTTTAGCTTGGCTGACTTTGTCATCGACCAGGATACACACATGGCGGAAAGTGTACGTATGCAGTGCCACTATCTGTGCAGAGGTTGAATGAGACGAGAAAAGTTGAAAAGAAGTGTCCAATTGAATTTCTTATAACTGTCACGCTCACTAAACGAGGGGAACATATAGCGTTTAGTTGTCGCTTGTTTCGAGACGACTTTCTCCACGAGGGAAGATGTATGGGAGAAAGTTTAACTGCACAAGCACACACAAGTCAAGTAAAGTCAGGCCAAGGATGTGATGAGATAGGAAGGTACGACTGAGAAAGTGTCCTCCTCGTCGTAACGGCAGAAAGTACCCGGTTCACTCACGCTCCTGCTGAAGGCTGAACCCCAAGTGAGGCCTGAACTACCCGGTGTGTGGGATCAAATGAGTCTGGAATTGTGGAACCTGCTGCTGCTGCTGTGTGTCTGCCGCTTTCCCTTTCTTCCAATTTCCTCAATGTTCCTGGGAAAATCCTGTTCGGAAGGAGCTGCTGCTGCTGAGTTTCAAACCAGACTTCACTCCTCTCACTCTCGACGACTTTCCTTTAAAGCATCAGCCCCACACGGTTGGATGGGTGAACACCAAACCCATTCAATCTCAACAATCTCTCTCTCTCTCGTTCGAGGTTTTTGGTTTTTCTTGGTGAGCACAACTAGTCAGCCATGAGAACACACAAAGCGGAAGCAAAACCAGGATTTGAGCCCGACACCCAATCGGCTTTTTAAATTGACAGGGACAAAATCTGTACACCCTTTTTCTTGTTGTGCAGCGTCAACTTGACACTTTGACCATGTTGATCATCCGAGATGGATCCAGCTCCTCGTTCTATTTAGCTTTGATTTGTAGAGTGTAATAACGTGATGAGTGACGACGACGACAAGGTTCCACTCCCCTGTCGCACGACTAATATGCTACGGAAAACGTGGGGGTGTGTATGAGGCATTGGAGGTAGAAAATCAATAACCTTTTTCATACATTGACATAATATGGCTGTACAACAACCCCTCACATTAGACTACGATTGAGAGTGGGATAGAGAAATTATTGGATTTTTAGTCTTCCTTTTGTCATATTGTTTGTATGTATGTACATATATCATGAAAAGGCACGGGGTTAGTTATTATTAGGTTATGGAAAGCCATGCGAACAAAATGTAGTTCGACGATCCAACCTTCATGTTGTAAGAAGCTGTGCTTTGTCTAGAATTTTGGTATATTTTGATTTCAAATTTCCTCCATGTATTTATGTATTTACCTATGTTTTTGCGACTAATTTCTCTACATACGTACTTATTTTAGAAGCCATATGCTCAATAGCTGTCATGCAAAATGCTAAAGTACCAAATTTGGAATATTATTCCATTATCGCTCAACGGACTGTCGTTTCTCTTTCATACATATTCTATAGCAGTTTTGCACGAAATGGAACATATGAGTGCAGTTGGTAGTCGAGTTTCATATCTCACATGCACAATATTTTACTTCAGTTGTACAAAATGAGTCTGCATATAGAGTATCATGAATTTGAACACGAAAAGTTTATAGTTTCTTATTGTTTTGGAGAAGTGCCGTATAGAAAAGTAGGAGTAGCAGTGAGTGAGTTGTTGGGTCGGCTGATTCCAAAGTGAAAGTTGGTCATTTCTTTGCCATGCTTCACACGTGGGGGCAATATACAGTCCAGTTTAAGAGATTTTGGCATGCCTCGCCAATCTCTAAAATGGCATGCAAATCTGCCATAACGCAGTTCTTTACATAGCTAAAACTGAATGAATATTTTGCTAGACGAAAGGACATGAAAATAAAAGACAAACTAAAATCCAACAGTCTGCTAAAATCTATCCGATTTTGGCAGGTTCACCAATTTCTCGCAACCACAAGAGTATGAGCACAATTGCTCAAAGCCTTTCATTTCAGTAACATCCAATTGCGCAATTTTGAAATTAACAAGAGATGACCCACCAGTTAGATGAGCTCACCACCCGTTCAAATTCCACGATGCGACGTCCACCATACAACTTGCTTATTAACACTGGGCAGGCCGAGTTAATGTGAGACTGAATTGCACATTTATGTGAAATGGGTCTAGGAAAATATGGAGAAAGGTGCGACGGTATAAGGAAGGACATCATAATATGACGCGCGTCGTATATAGGGGTCGAATCACCTTTGACTTTTAGTGCTTTAGTTTTACTACAGGCAGCAGTCGAAATCTAATAAAATTAAACGAAGGAAATGTCTCTTGGGCATCTCCTAATGAACTTGAACTAATTGGTCTGATGAAACACAAACTGATAGTTTACTTCCGGCGATGCAGCAGATTCTGAGTAGATCAGAGGTATACACATCCTTCTTAGTAAATACAGACATACACCACCATTGCAAGTGACTTCGCTTAATCTCTATTTCTCAGGACATCAAACAGAATCTGGTCAAGTTTCAACTAATTTTGACTTTACGATGCTTTTACTTCTTCATAAAACTATAATTATTTAATTACGCTTGTCGCGCAAAAAATTCAACTTTTACCTCTGGCTTTCTCACATGCACTTTAAAAAATTCCCACAGTAAAGTAAAGATTACCTGCGTTTTGAATCCAGTTTCTGTCATCCTCTAATAAGCTTGATTGGATTCCGTAGAACAAGTTGAATGACACTCGGTTAAACGAATATTAAAATAATTCAATGTATGCACATACTTCTAATCACTTCCAGTCACTTCCAGTAAGACTTACTAAAATGATAACACACTCTCACTGTACATATCATATTTTCAATAACCCAAATTTACTGCCAAATCACACAAATACTTAACTATAAATTCTGACAGGAAATGGTGAACTTGATTCCTCAACACGGAATGGCTGCATTTTATGACATGAAAATTAAATTCAAAGCTCTTTAACACAAAGGCAACTCGGTTCGTCGCTACTTAAATCAATTCATGAAATATAATATTATTTATTGCAACTCAAAAATCTGCGTGCGTCCATCGCTATGCAAAATTGTTCACTAATGGTACTCCACCACTACTTAACTCAACTGAATAGAATAAATATTCTCAGTCACCGAGATGATGTGCTAACAATTGAAGAGTTTGAAATCCCCTACTTTTCTTTGGACGGAGGATGCAGTTACAAAAGTTCATTATTATTTTGTTTGTTGCAGGCAGTGTACGACGACGAGGACGGTGGAGCGATGTCGATGTATGTATGGGGGCTTGCTTGAGGGAAGTACGTGAACCTCTGCTGTGCATTTCAAATCATGGTTGGCTGGCATACAAGTTGAATACCAAAGTTGGTTTACTTGGCTTCAGGTGAGTTGGATGTTGTGTAAAGGGTTTTGGTTTCTATTGTTGCCTACCTGTTCCAACATCCGGGGATACATTGATGATATGATGGTGCTCGTGTAGCGGTGGTGGTAGAAACTCTTTAATAAAAGCTGTACTTTGTGTGCAACATACTATTTCTACGGGTTATTACCACCTTTAATGGTGAAATGAAGCTGGTCCGGTCTCGATCCCTCCTCTCCCATGTAGCTTACCTACAGAGCAGAGGATGGATATTATTTTAACACAAAAGTGCTCACATTTCCACCTGTGCACAGGTGAGTGCAAAGGGTTACAATGATAATTTGGTTCTCACCACTCCTCCTTCATACATTCGCCATCTTCTCTCTCTGATGCATATGAGTTCATAGATTCTCGAAAGCTTTTTTATGGAAGATCTGTAATCTGACAACAAGAATCCTTTCTCGTAGTCTCACATTGTCTCGCAGTCTTAACTCCTCCAAGATTTGTGTATCCTTCCTTATGACAATTAGCTATCAAGATGACCAGAGTTTTTAAATCTCTCTCATAATGTGCAGTCAGTGTCGATAAGGCCATGAATCGTTTCGTCGTATTCGTATACATAAGCGATGAACCTCTTGTGGGTAAAATGAAACACAGCTAGATGCATGTACCACGGTTGCATAAGCGTCCATTATTCCTTCCCTGCAAAGGAATGGTAATCATGGGTTATTACTTCTATGAAACGATACAATTCAGTCAGACAAACGATCTCGAAACTGCCTCTACGTGCTCAAGTTTCAAATGTTTTTTTTCGACGTGATTTGGTCGATTCATTAAAAGAGATGATTTTGTCCATTGACAATTGACGGTTTGCTAAATCCAGCTAATGTTATATATGGAATTTAAGTATATTCCTCAATGGTCGTGCGACAACTGTTTCTAATAGCAGTCTACCTAATTTCGCAGATTCACCATCAATATGGCGCAGCCAAAATACAGAAACGAAATGAGATAGAATCCTTAGCCAGACTGTTTTGACACTTTTCCTGAATTATGGCCTTCAAAGAGCTACACAAATGTCATTAGCCGACTCCAACTCACGTACATGCACAAGCTAGAATTGGCCTCCTAATTGCATCGTTATATAAAGACTTTTGCTTTGTACCTGGTGTTTATGACCTTCCGTTTATTACATCAAAAACTTTTGTGCAACGAAAGTAATTGACCAATGTACAGTGTACATTGTACACACACGTTTAGTTATTTTAAGTTATTTAGTTATAAAAACCAACTTGTCTGAAAAACAATATGGATAAAGTTTTAAGTTGGTGCTTCACTAGCATTAACATTGAGAGTTTGTTGGGTCCCCAGATTCAGGTGAAATTCAATTTCCTGTTAGTCACCTCATCAAGTTTATGCTCAAATTGTCTGCACAGGTAATAATTACAAGAATTTGTCTGTCATGGGGAATTCGACTGAGGTCTTTGTTCCGAGTCCAAATGCTAATTAATTTTTACCATTGGCATTGTTTGTAAGTGGAGCCGTGAAGTCGTGGTGAGAATTTCCTGTGACGAATCGGATATAGGAATGATGGCACTTATACCTTGGTTTGCTGCTGGTTGGTTGGATCGGTGGTGGTTTACATATTATTCGTAACGTTCTGCATATGAAAAGTTGATTCTCTGGGATTAATTACTAGGTTTTGTATCGCAATAAAATAATTAAACATCAGCTATTGTAATTTGAGCCCAAAGTGTGTCACTTCATCTGGGCACAACTGTTTGTCTGGGCAGACAAACAGTTGATGGCATCAGTACAGTTAGAACTTCACGTTACTCACTCGCTCAAAAAAGTCATAAAAATTGCAACTTGTCGTACTTTTCTCTATTGTATTTTGTAGAGTATTTTCGAGGTGGGTGGCAATATTTATAATGCAGGCCTCGGAGAAGACGCTTTTGAAGTCTGGGACTGAGGATGAGGATCAGATTGCTTATTAACAATTTATGAAACTGCTGCAAATTACTAGTCATTGAAGAATCGTGGTGACCTCTGGCTCATTTTTTTGGACAGTTATTTTTGTGAACCATTTTTCCAACAAACTTGTACCCGTAGCATGAATGTTTTAATGTTGAATAAAATCTGTGAGTATACTTTGAGAAATCGTTTATTTCGTTTACGATCTCCAATATTAAGGTATGGGATTAAAAATACAAGCGAGACTGAATCAAATAACTTAAGAAGATAAATTTAGAAATACACAGTGTGGCTAAAATAATGATTAGTGACTTGAAACTTGAAAATCTTTGGTATTCAAATAATGATCCTACTCCGACCACCACTACATACATATACTGTTACGATCATTGCGAACTAAAAATAAATAAAAGAGATATAATATAAAATACACACATACATTAAAATACAATGTAAGTGTACACATATCCTATCTACAATTACATTACATGGGCGCTGTTTAGAATAAATTCCTTGATTCATTCAGGTACAAGTGAAATTTTATAAAATTTAAAATTAAAATAATTCCTTCTCTTCCACAAATTTAAAGAAAAACGTTAACGTTGATAAGGTGGAATGGGAGAGAAGTGGACGTATGTATGTAAAAAAAAAATGGTGTCCCATATCAAGGCAATTCACTTCCTCGCCTTCGTCCAGCGACATTACGATGTTGTCCGAGGAATGTTCTATTTCTGACTTCGACTGCTTTGTGATGAAGGGCTATTCCATAGTGGTAAAATGCAGATTGTAAAAGCTTATCTTCCATTTCTCGGACGGATCGTGCTTTCTCTAGTTCTTCTGATTTTGTAGGATCCAAACCCGCCGTGGTAGGTTCCAAAGTTTTTATTACACTTTGGGCTTTCTCCATGCATTTTTCTGAAAAATTATATTATAATGCATTATATTCATTTGTTGATTTGATATACTGTAATGATGATCGGCAATAAAAGTATAATTACTATATGTTTGTTCCTTCTTTTTTAGATCTTCGTCTTTAGCAACTATTATAGCTTCCAAGCTCTTGATCTTTTCTTGAAGCGCAGATTTCATATCTAAATAAAAATCACATTAAGGATAAATTGCGTTATTAAAACTAATGATACGCAAGCACTAAAAAATGATATGCATACGAGGATGATCACTACATGATCATCTCAATGTCAAGTGTAGTTAGCTTCCAAGTTATCGAATAAATATGACTGTCGTGACTGACCTATTAGTTCTTGATTCTTTGCTAGAAGCTCTTTGTCCAATTTTTCTTCGTGTTTGCGTAGCTGCTCGACAAGAATTTGCGACCCTTCGGAGGAAGAGTCATTGGTCATTACGGATTGCAGGTTGCTCTGCAATTTCTTATTCTCAAGCTATAACATACATTTAAGCAATTAATTACAAGAGATTATTAACTTCTATCTGTATATAGTAAAATCGTATAATTGTTTTCATGGTATTACCTCTAGCCCAACCATCTTTTGTCTCACAGAGGGAGGTAAGAGTTCCATCGAATACTCAGAAGTCCCAGCCATATTGGGGAACCCTGTTGGAGAATTAGTCTCGTTGTTGAGCAGTCTCAGCTCTTCAATCGTATCTTTCAAATGGGTTTTTTCTTCTTGCAATGCTTGAATCTGGCCATGCATGGTTTCTGCCTTCTCTCGAGCTTGTTGAAGATCATGGCTGATCTTGTTATCTAATTCATATGTAATAGACAAATTTACAATAGCACAACCAAATCATGATAGTATTAATTTTGTACTTTTAAATATCTCCTGGGACAGAGTATTTTGTGCTTCAGCCAAGTTTTTCTTTAAATTGTCTATGGTCGCCTTGAAGTTTTGAATCTTTTTGTTTTCTTCTGATAAATCAAAATTCAACTGAAATCAAAAATAAATTGCATGACATAAGGTCGAATCATTGTAGACACCACTATACTATAATAAAGTCATACCGTTACGAGTTCAGTATTTTTATCCCCGAGAAGCTTCGCCGTTTGCTTCAATTCAGCCATATCTTCCAGCTTCTTTTGCAAAATTTTCATTTGCTTTCCATAATGGGACGCTTTGTCAGCCATCTCTCGCAATGAATCCATTTCGTCCTTAAGTCGTGTCACCTCTTCTTCTGCACTCACGGCTGAAGCCATTTTGAAATGTGTTTCACTTATCTGCTTTTGTAACACCTACAAACATGTTTAAATCGTCATTAAAAAGAACACGAAGGGCGTTAAATATATAACATAACGTATGGAATAAAGTAGCTATCTAACCTGATTTTTAACTTTGAAATCATCCACAATTGCCTCGAGCTCATAATTTCTCTCCCGTAATTGCTCTATTTCACGTCTGTTGTCTTCTTGAAGTTTGTTTGACATGTGCAAGGACTCTGGATCGTTCATGGTTCCGTTCAGTTGATGCTGCAATCGTTCATTTTCCGTCTGCAGAGCCGTTTTCTCTACCATCATTTCTGACATTTTTTGATTGAGTTCATGGCATTGCTAAATCATAAATATATTTGTAAAATAAATATCAAATACCAATAACAAATAACACATGTCGGGCAAAAAATATTTCGATTTACTTGGGACAGTCTTTCTTTATCCTCTTGTAAGGATATCATGTCAATTTGGACTTTCTTCAATTGCATTCCTAGCATATCTTCCTCTTTCGGAGACTGATTAGGTTTAGCATCAATAACTTCTTGAATAGCTCCAACTATTTCAGTCTACAAAAATTACAAATATGCGCATAAATAGTTAACGTTTGATTTAACTTACCCATTAGATTTACTGAACTGTTTAAAACTACATACCTGGACAAATGTTCCCATTGTCCTTATGCTGCTAATAAACTCCTGGCAAAAATTAGACATGAAATTGAATAGTAAACGATATTACAATATTTATATTATTGCAAATTGTATCCTTTTGAAGTCGGTTTTGGAGTCTACATTGTGGTATTGATGAAAATACTAACCTCACGACGAGGACTGTTAACTGTACACACGAGCAGTAGTTGGAGAAGACGACCGATTTCTCGTACATCTCCTAGAAGGTGAATACAATTTATATTTAAGAAAAAAGCATATTATAATAATATGAATTTATATTTAAAAAATTATATATGCTTACCAGATGTCATAATTCGTGGAATATTAGGAGCTATTTCTCTAGGAAGTCCGTGTCCAATCTGTGGAATGTGTAAACAAATGTTAAACAACAGTAATTGTTTTGGTTTATAGCTTCTCATAGTATGACATTTGAATAGAATAATTTAACTCTATTCCAACTCATATTACAAAGTATTATAGGGTGAAACCCTATTAGGCGAAGACTTATGATTTTATTTCAGCCAGAAACAATAAAATCCTTAATGCTGATATACATACCTGATCACATAAGTATTCTTGCATTTTTTTGTTTAATACGATGAGAGGAGTTGATTCTTGTGGAGATGTATTCAAGTCTTTAAAGAAGCTAGGATCCACCACTTCCTTTAAAATTTTTGCAAGTATGGCTCCGTCCATAAAATCTTTAGCAACAGGTTCTGACTTTCGCTGGATGAATGGAGGCAAGGTCCCCACCCACGTGAACAAACTTTCACTCATGGCATCCATTTCCTCAGAGCTTCCAGTCCTCAAGTTGTCTGATGAGTGATAAAGAGGTGCTCCCGTCCTGTGTGCTTTCTAGGAATCAAATAGGACCTGAGACTTTGTACAGTAGGCCAACCCAATTTTCTGCAACAACAGCACAAACAACATCTAATATAATGTTTTTTATCGCCGACAACAATGTGCAAATATAGTACTACATTACAGACATTGAAGAGCATCTCTGTTTTCATCCCCCTGTAATTTTAAGCAATAAGCACTCTTACTTTTCCCAACAAGAGGGGCTTCCTCTTCTGATCCATGAGAGAAAAGTTAAAAATACAAGATGCACGAGGAAGACTCATTTCAAATCGACTTATTCATGCGTCTAGTCTAATTTCGAGTTTTAAATGTTTACAAATTCCCTGAAAATTGTTTGCCAACCTATTGAATTTGCACAGTTTGCAGCCCTCGAAACACACGATGGTGGCGCAAACCTTTCTAAATCGTGATCTTGTATCTGACAACTATAAATTGTATTTCATTTAATGATTAAAATAGAATTAGGAGGAAGTATTAGTATGCATGTAGGAGGAAGGAAGTACTAGTTTTTTGCATTTACTGACTGAGTGTCCGAATCTTTCGGCGTGGTTCGCAAGTTATAAAGCGATATTTGACTTTCTTTTATCTAAAGCGTGGTCCGGAAAGAATGCCATAAGATTTTCAAATGTGCATAATATCAGTCAATAAAACATTTCATAATTACGTGAGATGGTTTTGCGACAAATCCGATTGCCAATAAGGATCTGAAAATCAGAAGTCTGTACTATCAAATGGTTCAAAAATAACGTCAAACAAATTCGAGCAATTCACTAATAATCACTAAACGCTTTAGTATTCACGTAAGAAGAACTTTTGCATTTTTTCGGATCAGATCACCCTTTATGTGTTTAAATCTTATTAACAAATTCTGGACACACGTACATAAGTAATCTTAAATAAATGACAGTTTAATGGATGAAAAAAAACTTGTCGTCTTTTACAGCAGAAACAGTTTGACGTGCACACGTAGTAGAGTTGAATTGTTGAATCGAATGAACTCGCGTTACTCGGTCGTGACTCACTGTATTTTCGTTCTATTTGTACTAGTTTGATGTGCATGATAATTTTTGCTTTGTGTAGGTACATCACTATGCACATACATACTATCTCCCAGTACTTATTCCTATTCTGATCAGTTCTTGGTTGGATCTGGTTGTTTGGAATAATATACGAAGTGCGATAAAAAAAAGTCATTCAACACACGCATATCGGTAGTGACACAGTAAATTCGTCCGAATTATTTATTATTCCCACCCTAAGCGTCCCGGCCCATCCTTTGTAATTATATGCTTCAATTTAGGCGTACCTCTTAATTCATTTCTAGTTAGTAGAGCAAAAATAGGAGACGAGAATTTTAAAGATGAAGAGCGGAAGGATCGTGCTATAATTTATTATGAATGATTTTATGAATATTAACAAGACCACAATAGAACGCAAATAAAAGTCTTTGGTTGCATTATTATTATTACCCAAATAACCACACTTATACTATGCACCACACCTGTAACAATTCATAAATCTTGTATGCTATAACCCTAACTGCAACAATAATCGCATTTCTTCAAACAAAATAGAAACCAATCTAACCCCAAAGTAGTTAACTGACTGATATAAACTATTAGAAAACTCGACTATGACAAGACAAATGAGACACGCAACTCAATTGAATAAAGAATGTGACTGATAATAATTGCAAGGAAAAAAACTAAAAGTTTCTTTTAGTCCTTTTTAGCCAGCATATAAAATTTATGCTTTAATTTTTAGTTATGAAAAATTATTATATAGCCTGTAAGCAGACGTAGACATTTAGTATGGTCAAACAATATTACCTACAAGAATATAATATGACATGTACAAATTATTTATAATGTTACTCTAATTGCAATCTATACTAAAATTGAGAAAGATATGTACATTTATGATTATGTCACTGTTACATACACATTAATTAAAGCTAAATAGTAAACCAAAATTCGGATACTTCGGTTCAAAAGTTTAAAAAAATGCTGACCTTTTCTGTGGCCTGTACGTTTCTCCGGTCGTACTTCGATCCCAGTTATTTGTACCGTTTAGTTATCACTTCCGTCCGTCTCACTCAAAAGTGTGAAGTGAAAGTACATCCTCCAATCCTCAGCCTTCTTCCTTATAAAGCTCTTTTCTTCACAACAACCTTTCACAATTCTAAAAATTATGCTCAATTATTGAACGCACTTTCAACTGGCTTTCACTATAGTTTCTCGAATGACCTCCCAGGCCACACCAGACGAAGGACGAACGAGGCGTAATTATGCACCAAATTTAGTCTGTAGCAGAACAACCATGAATTATTGACACCAGTCACCAGTTTGCACACAATTTTTGATCGCTGGTGCAGTAATATCGCTCATCGCAATTAGTTAGTGACGAAATATTTTTAATGATTGAAACCAATTACAAATAAAATTGAGAAATTGGTGTCTGCTCTCAGTACACACAGCGATTAGAGTGGGCTGGCTGATGTGATGGTGCTGGTGGTGACCCATCGAGTCTGAGATGTGGCGAGGGAAATCTTATTTACTTGCTCCTTCAATCATCTGATGAATCAAAATACATCAAAAACTTCAAATAAAATTTAGAAACGCAACGTCATTAATTTTTCTAATAAATGTGTTTAAAAAAATTGTCGATGATGTAATTTTGGTGTGACTACTTAATTAATAATACGTTAAGCCTCATAAATTACATAGTTGCTGATCAAATCTTCATTTAGGACTGCTCAGGGGATTAGTTCTCGCATGTTCAGTGTTTTTTCTAAATTATTTTTAACTTAATTAAGTATCCTTACTTAATTGGGGACATTTTTAAATTTATGGTTATCTAACTGACAATGTAGCATCAGATTACGCATGTATCTATGAGGTAATATTATTGGTTATATAATATAGTTTAAATATGAAATATGTAATCCGTAATCTGAGAATGAAGTTATTTATTTGACGTTATTTATTTATTTCCATTCACAGTTGGACTTTGTTTTATTGAATTTTCTCCCCATAACTCAAGTTACACACGCATTGATAGAAATGGGTAATCAATTGGTGGCATTTGCCCCCTCATTAATTCGTCCTGTAGAATTTTACCTCACTGATGTTCCTGAACTCTACTTTGAATCAAAGTATGTGCCAATAATATGTAATATGCATAATTTTGGCTATAAAAATGTAAATTGTTAATGGTTTTCAGCTTGGGATCGACTAGGTTCCTGAAAGGTATGTAATAATTACTTCTCAAATATTTGCAGGCAATAAAGGCTAATTATCCTGATCTTGACTTATGAAGTGCGGATGGGATGACAATGGCAATAATTTTAATTTTGATTTTCTCGAAAGTTTGTCGAGCAAAACAAGGTCCCCTACTTGTGGTGGTGAAAGTGTTTGTGATACACGAGCACACACTTCCAATCCAAGTTTATTGTGAGAGATTGCAAAATCTTAGGAAATGCTTGGGTTCCACGCCTTCGCCAAATTGCCTTCCTTACACTAAAACAATCGTGAGTGTTTTTTAGTCTTTTTGAAATAATTTACATAAGAATATTATGTACAATGCATAATGTACTGTATATTATAGTCGACAGAGAAATCGGTGGTCGTAATCCGCCCATATGTGAAATTTTCTCTATATGATCGAATGTCCACTCGGCCCTTTCTCAGAAAGTCAGAAAAATTATGGATTGCATTTCAATTACTTTGTGGGCTTGTACAACTCCACAAACACAGTTTGTGTCACGGCGACTTGAAACTGGAAAATATCCTAATTACTCCAGGTACTACAAGTTTATTGTGACAGGAAATATTAGCTTGGACATAATTTATATAATTATAGCCACTGATTAATTTTGAATAGGGCTACGACTTTTGTTGTGCGATTTTGCGCCTTTTAAGCCAGTATATCTTCCAAGGAATAACCCTTCCGCGATTTTTGGATTCTTTTTCGATACTGCGGGAAGACGATGCTGCTATGTGGCACCTGAGAGATTTCAAGATGACAAAACTCAACTCGATAACCTTTTGACCCAAGAAGATGAGCTGAGACACTTTCTCCTTCCCTCCATGGATATATTTTCTGCAGGGTTAGTGCATACATACAAGAATGATCTGTTTAACCAATTAAAAATGCAATTGCCCCATTATTTAATAATATCCTCTATAAGTATATTATAGTGCATATAATATACCAATATTGGCAATAAATTAATAAATTAAAACATTATTTTCTATAATATTTCAGGTGCTGCTTGATAGAATTATTTACAGAAGGAAGAGTTCCATTTGATCTCTCACAACTTCTCTCATTTTGCGCAAATGATTATGATCCAACAACAGTTATAGAGTTAATTGAAGATCCAAGTGCAAAGGAGCTGTTATCTGACATGGTACAAAGGGACCCTAGTAAACGACTAACCGCTGCAGAGTACTTGACTCGCTTTCGTGGTCGACTATTTCCAGAAGTATTTTACTCGACATTGCAGTCATACTTTGATATCCTGGCCTTTCAGCCCCTCATTACCCCAGATTCTCGAATGGCAAGGTTGCGCCATGACGTTCGGTAAATGCAGATATGTATTTATTAACTGATGCCAAATACAAAACCATATTATAATTTTTTGTTTAATATTGTAGGACGTTACCGGATGATGTATCCCTCAACTTAATTTTTACTTCTTTAGTAAGCGCAGAAGTTCGAGGATTAAAATCAGTCACTGCAAAGTTGTTTGCATTGGATTCCTTTCGACGACTTGCACATAACTTAAATGACGATGATGTCCTTGAACGAGTCATTCCATACATTGTTTACCTTTTGCAAGACCCAGTATCACCAAGAGTACGGGCCGAAGCTTTAACAACTCTTGTCCACTGCTTGGATTTGGTAACCCAAATTCCTCCTTCGGACTACAACATATTTTCTGCCTATATATTCCCTGCGCTGGAAAGGCTAGATCGAGACGTGGCTGTTCGAATTGCTCTTGCTAAAACATTATCCCGCATTGCACAGATTTCGATGAGGTGAGTATAGTGCTCTTACTTATTAAAAATAATATGATGAATGACTATATAATTATGGTGCATTACTTACAGATATTTGGAGGCTTCATTTCTCCAAGGACATGGGCCTCAACAGCCCCAATTTATTGCAGAACTCCAATCTCAACGCGATACTGTAGCCACCTTTCTGTCAACCCTTCTTACTGATACGGACCCTGTGGTGAAACGAGTTTTAGTCTCTACGAGTGGATCATTAGAGGGGTTATGTTCTTATTTTGGAAGGGTGAAATCTCACGATATTCTACTCTCGCATTTAATAACGTTTCTAAATGACAAGGACGACTGGCACCTAAGGGCTGCATTTTTTCGCTGTGTTCCTGGTGTTGCCTCGTTTATTGGTTGGCACGCTGCACCGCTTTTGATTCCATTATTGAAGCAAGGACTGTCGGATGTAGAAGAATTTGTTATGCGACAAGCTTTAATTACAATCAAAAGCTTGACGGAGATCAATTATTTCGGTCACCGCTTCTTACTCGACTTACTGGAAGAAGTCTTGCCATTTGTGATACATCCAAATTTGTGGTTACGAAATGCCAGTGTTGGAGTAATCACGTCGATTAAAGTAAACCTGTCTGAAGTGGATTTACATTGTCACGTGATTCCACGTTTAAAAGTTTATTTGAATCCAACTTTCTCCTCTATCTGGGGATTGAACGAGGTGGCAATATCAAGCAAAATTAGAAAACCTCTAGAGCGTCAAGTATACGAAAGTTGTAGTAAAGCAAAGGGCGTTCTTCTTGAAGTCACGATCGAGTACTTGAGAAATAGACAAGGAAAGGGAGAACCTGATTCTAACGAAGTTTCCAATGTAAGCTGCTCCTTATTTGTGTGTAATAATATTATTATGCAAATATTTATTTGCATCTATATGCTTAAATTCAGGTATGAATTCTTTGCTGATTAGTTTTTTGTTGTTTGTATCAAAATAGTTCCTAGCAAGATTGAAGGCAGAGGGATTAAATACTCCAGTTGACCCTGTCTACATCACATTCTTACAGGTAATTGGAGGAAATTGTTGGAGGACTGATAAGTTCAGTTCTGAAATCTATTTCTTACAGAAACATGTGATGAAAGTTAATACGCAACGATGCCTGCGAACTACTGATGTCTCTGCATTTTCTACCAACAATGGGAAAAACAACGGATTTAGTCAGCAACAGCTTCAAAGTCATTTACTTATCATGTCGACTCCTCCTTTGAAAGAACTTATGTATCCTGGATCATTTTCAACCGTTACTGGTCCTGATATGAGCTCAGCATCATTAATGTCGGGGCCATCGATACCTGCAAATATTAGTCCTAATATAAAGAGCCCTGGTCCACAATATTATGCCAACTTCACAGAAAAACCGAGAGGAATCCTTGTCGCACATCTACATGAACACTCGAGTTGTATAACTAAAATATGTCCGCTGACATTTACAAAGTAATTAATATAATGAGGGTATTCATTATTTCTTCGTATCCGTAGTATCGTAAAATAGTTTACGAAGAAAAAACAAGGGGTCAGGTTTAGTAAAAATCGTAAGCGTAGTAACGTGATTTTCGATGAGAAAATCTTACGACGCTTACAAAATCTCGTAAGCGTCGTAAGTTATTTTACGATACGAAGAATACTAAGGATACGAAGAAATAATGAATACCCTCAATATTAATCTATTATGAACGATTCGATTGAAGAGATGCTGATTACACTGCAATCTGCACTGTTAATTATTTCAGAGGACTATTTGCAACAGCTTGCCGCAATGATGTCAGAATTTGGGATGCGGAAAAGATGGAGGGAAAGAACGTTGCAAACAGGTCTCGCTGTCATATTCGACTGCCTGGAGAGAGGTGAAAAGTCTTACAATATATTTACCAATTTTTCGGCCTTTTCAATAGCAGTCCAAATCTTCATGTAAATATTGAGTCAAGCATTGTAATGATTTCAGAGAAAAAAACATTTCGAATATAACATACGCCGCTGGTGCAAATGTGATTGGAGTCGCCGATGACAAAACACTTTATGGATTTGGGTATGTGTATTAATAACAATATGATATGTTAATTTGCTAGATTCATTCGTTCCACTGGTAATACGTTACCAATTATTTCTATTTTTAGGTTGGAAAATATGGTTGCAAAAAGCATATTTACTTTGCCAATAAATAATCAAGCAGTGGATATTGGAATACCAATGGCACTTGAATCCCATTCTCCTTATCTTATGGTGGTTGGAACCGAACTGGGTACTGTTTTAGGATTTGATATTCGCATTGCAACAAAGGATGTGTTCAGACTACAATCGGATCTCAAATGGGGACTATTAAGCAGTCTGTGCGTTGACGAAGAACAAAACTGGATGTGTACTGTATGTGAATTTTGAATTAACCACACATGTGCATACATATGCACATATTACTTGTATATGATTTACAATCATTAAAAATATTGCATTTTCTATTGTGTAGGGCACATCTAAAGGAATTTTGACATGTTGGGACTTACGATTTGGTGTTCCTGTCAATACCGGTATGTTTTTTTGACATATATAAATAACTTGGGCTTGCCTGCGATATAGACTTTTTCCTTCCAGTGAAAACTGACACACCAGTTCGGAAATTGAAGCCATCTCCTCTACACCCCGGTAGCGTATTTTCATGTCCGAGATATCAAAATGAAGCATCCTTGTGGAATTTAGAAACAGGTATCCAACAAAAATAACCCAAACACTTTTTTTAATACAAAGTTTTGTACAATTTTTTATGATATATGTAGGAAGTAGGCAAGTGTCCTTATGGGGTAAGACATTTCGCATTTACTAAAAAACATTAATCATAGGCACATACATATGTCAATTAAATAGAGCTTTCCATTTCCAGCCAGCAACCTTCCTTTATTATCAAAGCAACCAGAATCAAGCATTCCATCACGACCTTCAATGTCCATGTTTGGCATGACGTTTGTCAAGTCTCACAACGCCGTGATTACTGCAGGGAGCGATATGTGTATTAGATGGTGGGACGTGATCACCAACCCTGAAAACTCTTACGTCTTAGTTAGCCCTGATAAGCCAGAGCAGCCCGTAACTGGTTCCTTTGTAAAACACGGCGAATTTAGATTTAGAATTGTTGACGGGGTTGAAGTTATACAAGATGTTACTGTGAGCCAAAATCAAAACCAACTTGGCAAAAAGTTTGACATGGACTCGGGTGGAGGTGGGAGCGGTTCACCAACTTCGAATACATCTTCTGGTCATTCGTACCATCATTCAAACGCACATCATAATGTTATAACTGATATTGCCACAGTTGCAACTCCTAACCAAAGCTTTATCATTTCTTCTTCTGCGGATGGTGTCATTAAAATATGGAAGTAATTTATATTGCCTGTGTAAATTATATAACGTTCGACCATAATTAGTTATAATTTGTAACAGCATTTATATGGACAGAAATAAACATGAATTTGACTTACAGATTGTTGCATTATAGACTACTGTCAATGAGTGTTTCTTTTCGTCTGTGTAAATCGTAGGGTCGATAACCCACCGACATGACTTATAAATTGATAGATATTACTCAGAGTAGAGCCGGTATGGTGTATGAATGAATTACTACTTCAACGGATATATGTATGTAAAAGAAAATAGGATGAAACATGCTTTGCGTCCGTCAATCCATGTGTGTCCAATTGTTCAAGGTCATATATCAACAGACCAGTCAACTCTACACATGAAGATCGATACTATGACATACACATGTATGCATATTTAAGCCTTTGAGATCAGACCAATTCCGTGTGAGACCATTTAATTTCCTTTAATTCCCCGCACTGCAATGGAACTTTCTTCGGTTAGAGTAGCTGAGGAGGCTTTGAAATATTTCTCAACTACAATTCGATCCATCATTCAATCGGTGGAACAAGTTGTGGCCGACAAGGGGGTGGAGGAATTCACCAAGAAGAACCTGGGCATGCTCTTGGGAATGTTCAAGGCCTATGAACATTTGTGGCGTGCCTGTGAAAGTGGCTCGGAACAAGAAAACTTGGAATTTCTTAAACACATTTCCATCTCTGAAAAAAACAATTTACAATTCCAGGAAACACTTGAGGACTTTTTCAACTCGGAGGTGGAGTATGATAATTTGCTTGATAAATTGGATACGATGCTCAATCCCTTCCCAAATATTGATGGGAACATTTTAGATTTCCAACTGCAAACTTTGGCAGATCCAGATTCAAGGCCAAACATACGTGACATCGTTGAAGGGTCGAATTTCACGTGGATGGTGTTTCTGCGACATTTTGCCTGATTACCGTGACGAGATCATGTTGCATCCCTGATTGCGGCCAATGAAGTATAGATATTAAATTTGTCTGAGATGATTATTAATTGGCAACAATTACAAAATAATCCATGAAATGCGATGTTTGGTATTAGGAGAAGGTGGCTGCATTGGGATGTAAAGTGATCATCGTCTCGTTCGGTGAAAGGGAAGGAGCTTTACGGTGGAAAAATGATACAAATTGTCCATTTAACATATATCTGGACCAGGACCGGAAACTTTACTTTGCTTTAGGAATGCATAGGTCATTAGCAAAGGTATAAACTATCAAAATTTCTCAATTACATATGCAAAATATTCTAGTAGTAATAATGTTATAATTCATGCTTTCAATTTCAGTGTTGGAGTCGCAGCACAAATTCATTTTACGTTGGAGCGATGCTTACAGGGAGGAAATTGATAACTCCTTATCCGGACATAAAGGATGATCCGCTGCAGATGGGTGGGGATATTTTGCTACAACAGAATGGAAACTTTGTCAAGAAGTACTTGAGCCAATTTCCAGCAGATAGGCCAGCACTTAAGAGTTTCACTGATAAAATGCAAACCGGAAGTTAAAACAAAACTTATGCAAATAATATGAATAAAAATAGGGAGCATTTTATTTCTTAAATGTATTTATATTTCGTGTTATAGTTTACATTGTTGCATTTATGATTGCCAACAACCAAACTGTGAAACAGAGTTGATGGCATGATTTTTGTATGTTAACTATGTGAACTATATGCCAGAAATGGAAACTTATTATCAAGAAAAATTATACGTAAAATATAAAATAAGTTATAAAAATAATTATAAAATAAATTGGGTAAAACGAGTAAACAAGTAAAACGAGTTGGAGAATTATTAATTATTTTAAACAACCTGCACCCAGCGTCTGAATTGAAAACATACAAAAATAAAAAGTACGAGTGCCCAGCAGCGACAGTTAACAAATAATTGTACAGAGTACTTCAAGATGAATAAAATCGAGGACAAAAGTTCCTTGGCGTCGGAATATCCAAAAAGGTAGATCACCAGACGGAAAACGATCCAACAAATTATGAATTTGGCAAAATATTTGATGCAACCCCAGAGGAAATTCCCAAAATCCATTATTCCATTGCCAATTAGTCTTCCCAATCGCGTATCATACAAGGCCACCAGTCCCCTCCTTGCCAGTTCAAGCGGATATGTCACAAGGGTAAGAAACAAGTAAAAGCACGTCATCAAATCCGTGTCATCCATATCTACGATTGATTAAACAACAATTTAAATGGATAGAATAATAAATAAATGTATGAGTGAAAGTCGCATTTATGTACAAAGAGGAATAGTATTGGTTGGTCACTTTTGCTTGCTTACCTGTGTTAAGCATTTGTAATAAATGAAAAATTTGATAGCTGAATATTATATGATTTTTAGGAAGTATTTATGTGTTTTTAAAACCTTTATGTTTTTTCTGTTCAGGGAGGATCGATGTGAAAGGAACAGGGCAGCCAACTTACTGATTCTAGTACATAAACTTCATTTATTATTTATGCAGTCTTCAATATCTAATCTTTAGAAAGATTTGCATATCTAGATTATCAACCCCTCGGAGAATAGCTGTCTTATTTATGTATATTTAAGAAGAACAGTGTAAATAATACCGATACTGCTCTCCTCTTACAATAGGGATGAAACATTGCATATTTTAAAATAATAGTACCATTGTTCATCATAGCACAATTTTGATCTGCAAAATGAGTACTACAAGAAGGGAGACAAAAAGGTTGTTTATTTCTGAGATGTTACTGATTGCTACTTATTTCTGGGTATGACATTACAATGAATTTTACACATTTAAAAATTATGGAAATTATATTGAGAATATTTTTTGAATAGTTAATTAATGTGTTTCTTTCTGGTTTCATAAAGTGTTGCTATTCACTGGGGTTAGGACGGGCGCAGATAAATTCTGACCAATTTCATGAAGAATATCCCTTGAAGATCCAGGCACTCGAATTACGTCTTGATGCAGTGGTCAAAGACTTTCAATCCTCTACTTATCAATGTGCAGAATTAGGCAAAGAAATTTTGGATGTGGTTGCCGAACTAAAAAAACAAGTGTCCACTTTTCATAATTCAATTTCAAACGTTTTGGGAGATGGCGATGAGAGTCCAAAAGAATTATTTTGTCAGAGTAAAGGTTTGGTGACAAAATTACTTGTTACATGGTTTTGAAATACAGATGAATTTACAAGATTTATACTCAGGAAACCCGTCAAGAGGGCTTGTTTCATGGATGAGCTATAAATTTGGACCCGCCCTACAAATTATTGGACTAGTGGCAACAATCTATTTTCTCTCGCAACTACTGGGTGGTACATATACATTCGATTATTACACACAAATATGTTTTGTGAATTATTTAAGTATGGTTGATTGAATCCTATTGTTCAATTACTAGCATTGAAGAAATCTCATCTTCCCAAAATAGAGGAAAAATGGAACACATTTATGCGAAAGGTCACATTTAACGCGTCGTTTGACTATATGGTTGATGTTTATCAACCAAATCGTTAACTTTGTCGAGAGTTGTCATGTTGTACATGTGTATGTAAATTGTAAATACCGGTGTTGAATATTACGCATGATTGTTCACATTATACATGCAAAAATAAAACTTTATGCATATTCGCAATTTATCAGTATCAGAAAACGTTTCAGATCATTTTTGCAATATTGAGAAAATTCTTTGTTCATTTGCATTCACTTATTTGTGAATGTATTTTATTTTGGTTATAAATTTCTCTGAATACGAGATATGTACGGTATACGGTATAGACACGGAGGTTAATGTGACTACAAGTTTTAAGTTAATTATGACTCCATGCATTATGTTTGCCTTGCTTTCCACTCCAATTAATTTACGCCATTGGCCGGAACGATCCATAAAATTCCTGCGAACCTTTTCGACTATTGTTTGGCCCCTGATGAAGTAGAGTCGAAGACTCTGATGCGTTGGTTATATTTCCGTTACTCTCCCAGCCGAACCTCCGTCTTGTCTGACGATTGTGAATGTAAACGATAGGAATTACGAGAACAGACTAGAAAATTCAACCAAAAATTCAAACGAAAAAATTATTAGCATTCAAATAATTATATTCATGCTAAAATGTTTTTACTAAAATGGTTGCAAGAATTTCCGGATGATAAATCCGATTACAAGAACCAACTGAAAATGTTAGACAAATATTTAAAAACCAGTAAAGGCAGAGCTTTAATTTGACTAGTTCAGCATGCATGAATAATTCCAGAATTGGTTTGAAAGTTAAATAATAGGCTGAAAGTATGGGGAGGTCTTCCGGCTTACCACAATTATAGCTGTAACAAGTGGAAACAAGGATGACATCCTAAAACTGCTTTGATCCAGCAACCAACCCCCGAGCGATGGTCCTACGAACATTCCTAACGAAAGAAAGGATGCCCACAACCCGGAAACAACACTGTATGTCTTCAAACTATCGGGGAATCCATTAGCTCTATCATACGACAATTTTGGCCATTCAATCAATGCAAATATTTGTTATAAACTGATTTGAGAAGAGCACAATTAACACTCACATCGATTCTCTAAGGGCTAGGACAAAACCGGAAACTTGGATTGCACCCACACCAATGCCATGAATTATAAGACCAACACAGGTAATGCCGAGTTGACTACGTTGTGATACAATACAAACAAGATTCATGACAAACGAACAAAACCAACAATTAACAATGTTCAGTTTTTGTGCAATGATTACGGTTCAATTGGTATAAAGATGGCAGGACCAATAATGAGATGAGCCACGATAAGAAGTCCACATCCGAATAAAGAAACATACTTTGGGTGCCACTTTTTATCCATTAACTTTCCCCAAATGGGTGCAGACAAAGAATACGAAATACCTGTGGTCATAAACACAAGGCCAACTTGCATCTCTGACAAGTGAAACTGAGGGGAAAAATAGAAATTCATGTACGTATAAGGTTTGTATATTTATTAAAGCATAGCTTGATAAGCTGTAACCGAACCTGTCTCAAATGCGGCTCTAACGTCGCACTTAAGAATCCGATTGAGCATGAACTCATCCAAATTGTCAAAGCGGCTAAGGTCGCGGCAGGAATTCTCAATAACGTTATTATACTGAAGCCTTCTTGGTCGTTCGAATCTGCTTTATCCATTGAGCCTCCACCGGGTACAAGGCATGGCGTTATCAAGGCCACGACAATCAGACATAACCCAGTGACAACAAATGGTAACAAAAATCCTCCCAACTGTTATTGCAAAATGTAGATGAATCAGTAATTTGAAATGTCGCAATTAAGTTAATAATTAGCATTATTAAAGTTCACCTCAAAAAGAATACCTCCTAAAGTTGGCCCAATGATAAGTCCCAAGCCATAAAACGTCTCTAAGGATGCCTATCGTTTCATAATTACCACAATGAAAATATCCCATTGATAAGGCGTCATGATTCATGTACATATATTCTTACAAAAGTGGTCGCAACCGAACCAGCAAACTCTCCCGCAATGATAGTAAACGAAGCAGTGCAAAATGCTGAAGCACCGATCGCTTCAAACACCCGTATGGCGAATGATAACGTAATAAATGCTGTGTGATCATTAACTCTGGCAAGAAATCCAAAAGCAAAGCAACTTGCTCCTATCGTAAATAATCCAAGCTCTAGAACCAACTTTGCTCCAAGGAAGTGCATCTGAAATTATTCATTCATGCAAGTATTTAATTACATATGTGTTTAAATACTATTCACACATATGCATCTACTCATTGAGACAGGATTTACCAAACTTACATATTTCCCAAATATCGGAGAAGCAATAAACACAATTAGTTGAAAAATTCCAAATACAAGACCGTATTCTGTGGCTGAAGCCCCTTTCCTTTCAGCCTATACTTAATCAATCATGAAATTAGCGACACGTGTAAAGGTAGCAAACTTAATTTTTCTTCATATAAATTACCTCAGCCGGATAAAACGGGGCTTGTAACGAGTTAACGCATGCCGCAAATAAGTATGCAAAACAAAATACTAAAATTATGACCCATTGTGATCCCGAAAACACAGAAACTTTTCGACGAATGTTCTCCCGTACGCGATTAAAATAATTCATGACTTCACTAATGTCCGTGACCACTGCTGTTCACTGCCCACTTTTTGCAACCTCTGCCTTGACCCCTCGAGTAGAGTGAATTTTAAAATTCTGTATTTCTGTCACGCTACATATATATCTCCTGATTTGTATTGAAGAATCAATATGAAAATAGGTTGTGCGTATGCTGAGGTCAGTTACTGACTTTCACCTCCGATTACTTGAACTATCATTAGAGCTCGATTTAACAAACAGAGCTTCACAATTAAATATTTGAGTTTTTAGCCCGAGTCAGGGCTTATGTACCCGTCACGTCCGTCTGTCCGTCTGTCTGTCCGTCTTGCGATAACTGCCGTAAAACTAATCCGATCGACTTGAGATTTTGCACAAATGTAGTATGGGTCAAATGAGGAGTTAAGTTCGAAGATGGGCGAAATCGGTCAAGTGATTGACCGGTGGGGGTCATAAAGGTGGGTGGGGTATTATGCGCCAAATTTTCAAAATTATAGTAGGAAGCTGAAATTTGGTACAGAGGTTGATGATGGTTTCTAATGAAAGAATATAAAGTAAAATTATAAAAATTCTCATGTGGAGGGACCCTAGGGGGTGACCCTTACCGATTATTAAAACTTATCCAATCGAGCTGAAATTTGGTATATAGGTTGTTAATGACTACCAATAGAAAAATATGAATTGAAATTGGACACATTTTCACCTGGACAGACCCTATGGGGTGACCCATACCAATTTTTCAAATTCGTCAAATTGAGCTGAAATTTGGTAGACAAGTTGGTAATAGCTCGTAATGAAGTAAAATAAGAAAATTTTCACCTGGAGGACCTTATTGGGCGACCCAATAAGGTGACCAGGGAGAAAAATATGTGTGCACCAACAAATGTATACGAACATAGTCACCCGCGTGGCTGGAATTTGCATATGTTGCGTCTAATATTACCAAGATAATATCCTGAGAGTTTTAGGAAAAACAATACACTCGTTTCAAAGTTATGGTCATGGTCAATACTGGTGACCAGGAAGAAAAATATGTGTTGTGCACGAACAAAAGCATATGACCCTAGTCACCCGCATACCTGGAATTTATAGATGTTACATTGAATGTTGGTAACATAATATCCTGAAAGTTTTAAGAAAAAATATACACTCGTTTCAAAGTTATACTGGTGACCAAGGGAAAAAAATGTGTGCACTAACAAAAATTTAGTGATAGTGAATAAATTTTAGTATATGGGTTACTAAAGGCTCTTAATTGAAGAATTCGAAGTTTTAAAAATTTTAATTTGAAAACAGATTTACGCCTGACTCGGGCTATATCAAGTCTGCACTGTAGGTTTTATTAATAACATTTGAACTCGTGTTCATAAAAAGCCTTTATTAAAGACGACGAATGAATACACAAAAACGACACGTAGGTATTTGTTTACAATGATGTCGTTGAAATGACATTATATTTATTGCTGCATAGTTGACATTCTAAAGCAGTGTGGATAATTTCCTACCCCCAAGTTCTCTTTAGAGTATTATTAAGATAACACATTATCAAATACTCTGAAATCTCAGATCGCTTAATGCACTTTAACGACGATAGTATATAGAGTTCATTAAAGGGAAACCTGATTTAAGAGTTGCAATGGCTTTTACAACAGGATTACTTATGCTGATGGGACGTATCACAAGACATGCACAAAACATGTAACGTGTACCAGTAATTGAGTCTGGCACTTGAAATCTGGTTTTATGAAAATGTAATGTACCTAGAAAATCTGTCAACTTCCAACTTTGTTGTTGACGACGCACTATATACGTATGTACGTAAGTATACAAATATAAGAAACATCCGTCCATTCCATTCTTATGTTGTCACAAGGTTGCTTGGATCATAAAAAAATTATTTGTCGTCATTCATTAATCACTGAAAGTTAAAACCTGGCCTTATGTCTGTTTGTGCATATGTCTCACGAGTAAATTGGAGGATGGATAATTATTGTCTGGAGCTGATAAGCATATAGACCTATCAGCTCCAGACAAATCTTAGAGATCTTATCCTGAGAGTTTGAGTAGCTACTTAAATTATTGTTACATGCAATAAATTAAATTATTATATGCACCTCTGTACAACGCACAAAGTTAGATTTTCACAAAAAAATTCACAAATTTTTACGACCCAGATAAGATTTCCACAATATCTGTACTTTATTCAAGAACTGTTGGTGAAACTTATTTTCATATCTTCAAATTTTTGAAATGATAAAATGGTTATTTAAGTAGGTAGGGACATTCGGGATGCTTGTCGACGCTATAAAAAGAGAAAACATGAATGGCGAACATATTCTTTTAGAAGCATAACTTACCCTGGGAAACTATCCAGACCAAATGTTCGCCCTTTATCCCCACGATCCAATGCTTCCAGGCGTCCCATATCCACTGAACTCAGTTCAAAATCATAAATCTGTTAACGAAATAACATCACGGATTTTGAAATGGTTAGATGTAAATAATACATAAAGCATTGCATAACCATATGCAATTTGAATAAATCGTACCTCAATATTTTGGCGGAGCCTTTGCGGGTTGGTGCTCTTAGGAATCACAACAATTTTATGCTGAACAAGGAATCGCAAAAGTATCTGGGCAGGGGTTTTATTGTGTTTTTTAGCAATTTCTTTCACAACGGGTTCCTCCATTGGGTTTTGAGCATCAAAAGTTCTGACAACAGAAATTAGATTAGACTAGTGTGAAATTTCCTAAGTTTTTAATTACGATAAAACTTACACCCCCCGTGACGCGTACAAAGCACCACGACCTGGTGATCCTAGCGGACCGTATGCACATACTGTAATATTATGCTTTGCACAAGTTTCCCTCAAAGCCTTTTGTTGGAAATAGACATACAGTTCGACTTGGATGTTGCTTAAAGGTACTTTTGCAATTTTAACGATTCGTTCAATCTGCTTTGAATTAAAGTTGGAGACTCCGATGGATTTTATTTTGCCAGAATTGACTTGGGCTTCCATTTCAGTCCAGATGGCTTCAAGGTTTGTCGACATGTCGATCGCAATCTTTCCGTCTTGTCCTTTTGGGACAAGTTCCGTATCGTTGGAATATTTAAACCCAATTGGGGCATGAATCAAGTACAAGTCCAAATAATCCAGTTGCAAAGCTTCTAATTGCAACTGTACAAAATGCCCAACTTTCTCGGGAGTATTTCCTGTACACAAGTAAATACGTATGTAACTACTTATAGTTAGTTATTTCATATTTCTTCACAAATCCTTTAAATTATATTCGTCTTACCAATCATTGGTAGCTGTTGAGTAATAAGTGGTTCAAAGATACCGATAAATGTAAAGGGAATATGTGATTATTAGTTTACATGTGCAGCTATATATATTTATTAATAATTAAATGTCTGAACTCATGATGCATTTTACTTTTGTGACGATGAATAGCTCTTCTCGTGTGATTTTTCCAGAATCAATCCATTGTTTCAAAACTCTTCCAATGGTTTTTTCGTTAGTGTACATGTAAGCTGTATCGAAATGACGATATCCAGCCTGTAAAGCCTCATTCACCGCAGTCTCAATTTCCTGCTCGTTTGTAGCTAACCACGTTCCTGTTAAGTTTCACACATACTAAATAAAAATATTATCCAATGAAAATGCGACAAATTTAAATTATTTATGTAGCTTTACCAAGACCAACCAATGGCATTTTCCGGCCATTTGGAAATGTTACAGTTTGCGACATTTTAATATTTTTTCTCTTGCAATTTTACATGCACAACCTGGAGAATACGATTTGCTCCGGTAACAGGTGCAAGTGATGTGACGAGAGAAATAATAATATTAATGGTAAAATGGTAGTCTCGTGCTTTTAAGTAAGGTTGGAGTAATTGCAAAAAGTGCTTGTCATTATCATGAATAAGCTTGTTTTATTTAGCCAAAGTTACATCATTAAATCATGGAAATCAAGGTTATTTAAATGACACTGCATAATTCACAGTGATGTTATTTCAAGTATGTAAATACATTATCTAATATTGTGTATTAAATTGATTGCACGAAACTGATGGTTTAAGTAGAATTCACAAAAAATGATATTATCAAACAACATAATCATATATCCTTTGACGTTTTTCAGCATGCACATATGTACATACGGCAACAAAGGTAAGAATTCTTGAATTCGGATTTCTATTTTTGAATTCGACTCTTGATGAATTTTGGGCACTCGGGATGGTTATTTATTCTGTTAAAAAATACAATTCTAATTTGCTATAAAATACGAGAAATGAAATACAAACCCTTTGAATGCTGCAAACGTGAAAAATCGACCATCCTCCTTTCTATCCAATGCCGTGAGTCGAGTCATGTCGTCTTGTGATAAGTCGAAGTCAAAAATCTTAGGGGAGAAACAGAAACATTCTCAGACAAAACAAACAATAGAGGCATCATCAATATCGACGTGCTTATTTGTGTGTATGTACATTAATATTTGCTCTGAGTCGTTGAGGGTTTGTGCTTTTTGGAATTACAATTATTCCTTCTTGGACAAGAAATCGAAGGAGGATTTGTGCAGTTGTTTTATTGTGGTGTTCAGCTATCGATTTGACCACAGCATCATCCAGCAGACCTGGATCTTCGAATTTCCTAATGATAATAATTCGCTCGGGGGTTAAAAATCAGCCCAAAATATTACTATAATTGTACGCGTAAACTTACATTCCCCTTTTTTCAAATAACGCTTTGCGACCCGGACTTCCGATCGGCCCGTAACTGCAAACCGATATGTTATGCTTGCGACATGTTTCTCTCAAAGATTTTTGTTGCATGTAAACTTGTAGTTCCACCTGAGTCAAAGAGTCGAATTATAAATTTCAATTTTGCATCATTAAAACTTGTAGTGACAGTTAATTTGATATGCATTTTATAAATAAAATAAGAGCAACAAACTTGGATGTTTGATATTGGAATTCTTGCAATTTTCACAATTCTTTCAACCTGATCTTCATCAAAATTAGAAACTCCAATGGACTTTGCATGACCTGCATCAACCTCTTTCTCCATTGCTTTCCAGGTTGCTTCCAAATCTGTGTCCATGTCGTATAAGGGCTCACCGTCCTTAGCTGGCCACATTTCCGTGTCATTAACGTATTGCATTCCTATGGGCGAGTGGATCAAGTAAAGGTCCACGTAATCCAACTGAAGGGATTCCAAAGATTTTTTCAAAAAGTAGGGAACACGGTCAGGGTGTACACCTAAATATTCATAATTTATAGTATAATCACACGAAATTATTGTCATTTAATTGTCACGTACCAATTCCTGGAAGCTATTGTGCACCAAAAAAAAAAACAATTATTCACAGAATTCCAAGTTGTAAGCCATTGTGAAAAAATAACCTTCGTTACGATGAAGAGGTCCTCACGTTTCACACGTCCAGAGTCAAGCCATTCTCGAAGAACCTTCCCGATGGATTTTTCATTTTCATACAAATATGCAGTATCAATATGCCGATAGCCGGCTTTAAGGGCTTCGTCCACCGCAGATTCTATCTCTGTCGCATTGGTTGCTTGCCAAGTCCCTAAAAATATGTGTACAAGGAACTGATAATTAAGTTGGTGAACGCAACAAAATTTTGTATCGGTTTCTTACCAAGTCCAACAGTTGGCATTTTATACCCACTCGCCAATTCTACGTACTGAGCCATATTTTAAGATTTTGTTTATTAAAATTGATAACACAAAGATTGTTTGGCAGAGCAAATGACACAAGAGACTGAAAATACGTGTTAATGTGGAATTACATATGTAAATATGCATGGCATGGCAGATTCTCGAATTGCTGGTTGTCTTTCGGGATCCTATACATGGTAATAAAATAAAAGATTCGTGTAGAAATCCCAAGGTCAATATTTTATGGATGCACCCGTCCCACTAGGTTTTTATTCATGTACAGACAACAATAGACAAAGAGGTGAGATAGCTTTGTAAGCAGCATGAGTTTATCATGGCGTCACTCTGATTATTAAACTCAAATCGTATTTTAATGTAATTAAAGCAAGGATATAAATGTGTGCTCTAATATTTATTTATGTACTCGATATAGTTCTAAATACATGAAAAAATATCCATTTACTTTGACAATTTGGCGAAGTTTGGACATTCTGGATGGTCCTGAGCTCTATAAAAGGTTGCAGGGTAATTTTTTAGTACATTTAAGTTTAAAAGTTTATAATAATCTTTTAAATATGTTGCGAACAAACCCTTTGATGTTGTCAAATGCAAAGAAACGACCTTCGTTCCCATTTTTGTCCAATGCTCTTAGTTGAACCATCTCATTGTTTGTTAATTCAAAGTTGAAAATCTTAAAATATGTTAATCAAATTAATTTTCCTCCTACACATCAATGGAAATTTTAATTAAGGACCTACGTCTATGTTTTCTCTAAGTCGCTGAGGGTTTGTGCTTTTTGGAATTACAATTATTCCTTCTTGCACAAGAAATCGAAGTCCAACTTGTGCAGTTGTTTTATTGTGGTGTTCAGCTATCGATTTAACCACGGGATTATTCAGTATACCTGGATCTTCATATTTCCTAATGACAGTATATAATTTTTCCCAATCAAATAATTAAGATAATGATTAATTTAATATTTGAAACTAATTATTTACATTCCATATTTTTCCCAAGCCTCCTTGCGCCCTGGGCTCCCAAGACTGCCATATGAACACACCGATATGTTATGCTTAAGACAAACCTTGCGTAAGGGTTTCTGCTGCAAGTAGATTTGTAGTTCCACCTGAACAGCAAGTCAAAGTTTCTAAATGAAGAATTGACGAATGTACTCTTATATGTAGATATGAAACCAGTAACCTGAATGTTTGATATTGGAATTCTTGCAATTTTCACAATTCTTTCAACCTGATCTTCATCAAAATTAGAAACTCCGATGGACTTTGCGTGACCTGCATCAACCTCTTTCTCCATTGCTTTCCAGGTTGCTACCAAATCTGTTTTCATATCCAGCAAAGTTTCACCGTCCTTGTTGGTTGGCCATGTATCGGTGTCACTAACGTATTGCAAGCCCAATGGAGAGTGAATCAAATATAGATCCACGTAATCCAATTGGAGAGCTTCCAAGGACTTTTTCAAAAAATGGGGAACACGATCAGGGTGAATCCCTAATTAACAAATATGGGTTAAGAGTTAAGATGCTTCATCATTTTTTGTACGAGTGTTTTATCAGTACATACCAATCCAAGGGAGCTGAAATTTGGATACAATGTGTGATTCTCATATAGTATTTATTAGCAGTGATGAAAATGTGTCGTATTTTCACTATGTACCTTTGTGACAATGAACAATTCTTCTCGTTGTACACGTCCAGAATCGAGCCATTCTCGTAGAACTTTTCCAATGCATTTCTCGTTTTCATACATGTAAGCAGTATCAATGTGGCGATATCCAGCTCTAAGCGCTTCGTTCAGAGCTATTTCTACTTCATCTTGATCCTTGGCTTGCCAAGTCCCTGAGAATCAAAGTTAAAAATAATACTACTTTGCATAATGAAATAAACTAAGGGGTAATCTGGACATGCAAATAAATTACCAAGTCCCACTAATGGCATTTTATGGCCACTTGCTAATCTCACATAATGATGATCCATAATTATTGCTCTTGGAGAGTCAAAGTTCCGAATAAAGTGTTGACCAGTAAACTAGAAAATCGAAACTAAATAAATATACGTATGTACAGACATACACTCGCTTCACAATTCACATTTTCTCAACCATACAATTGTAGGTACGAGTCCCGAGTACAGACTATTTCATGTCCAAAAATGTTGGTCATGTTCGCAATGACAAGGCACATGATTTTTACGAACTATACCCATCACGAATGTGATCAAGTCATGAAGTTTAATCATTTATAATCAGCTTACTTCATACATCAAGGTCAATATACATGGATTGCTGGAGTGCCCAGTTTCGTTTTTTATAACAATTAATTAATTATTATTAATGTTTGACTCTGCAAGTCAAATGCAGATAAATGCAGAGCTGGTCGAACAAATAATAGCAATGCAGAAAACAGTTATGGAAAGAAATAATATATCTAATTACAAATTAAAAACTACAATGCGCTTTCATTTACCTTCACCAACCCAGAATTTACACACACATTGTGATTCTACTTCTTTACAATTAATATGTAAATAAAAATAAACTCCTCTGCACATTCATCTACATATTAAACCTGCCGACAGGGAGCCTCGACACGTCAAACCGAGACTAGTATTATTGTTATTATTATTATTGCTATTACTAACATACGAGCCAAAAATTGAGCAAACAGTAGCATTATCTTTTAATGATGAAAAAAGTTGGTTCGTCATTCATTTCAAATTTATCATGGGAACGGGCAAGACAATCACTTTATTTCGTGATGTGACCCTTGTCGAGACTAGAGTCCATATTTGGTCGAATGCAAATACTAAATACGAAGCGGAACAATGCATTATTTTCCGATTATCTCGTATTACGTGGTTTCATTCGTTACCTATATTTTAATTTATGAGGGGACACACGCCCTTAAAATATCTTAATGACTCACCGTGCATACATTTGTCATAGATCTGCATATGCACACTCTCCATTAATTCAACATTATTATTTGCTTCAGGCTGATCGAAGACATTCTCCACTAACTAAAGATCAGGGAGTGATTTTTAAATGATTTGGCACGGATGATGCAAGTTATAGAAATAAGCATGCCTAACTAGATATACATCAAATTAAATGTACATTAGCAGTTCCATTACACATAGAACTGCGTGGATCATGAATTAATTAATAATATCACCCCAGGAAACTGGATTCTTTACCTGCAAGAAACAGATATATTCAAAATTCAGCTGATAGACAATTAATTTATTTCCCAATGGATCTCAGCTCAGCGGATATCAACCAACCAACAAACTAAATAAGATGCAACATTTATACAGGAACGCACATACTTGCGCCAGAAATTACGATTATCTTAAAGGCTGCTTTAAATTAGAAGAACATTAATCATTAAAGTTATTTATCAATGAGGCATTTCGCTGATATTTCAATGATATTCATTCATTCATATATACCTGCAAGTACACGTCTGATATACATATATCGATTCAAAAAAACAATAATATGTAACATCAGCTCACGAACTTGTCAATCACACACGTTCTTTACTATATACATATGGATATACTCATGTGTTGCATATCGAGGTATATTAATTGATACATGACTAAGAAATGACAGAAAATTAATCAGTGTACTACGAGGTGTTGGAAATTTATAAGGACCATAAGAAATGCGACATATTTCGATATTTCCCATTTTCAAGTATTTCCAACTCGTGAATCATGATCAGACCCTCCTTCTTCGTTTCGTCAATCATTTCACTACTTAACATACTTTTTTTATTCTAAAAAGGAGTTAATATTTTGCAGAAGGTTTTGCCTTTCATCCGTTATTACAAGACAGCAACATGCTTTGCCCTGCGAAATATAGCCAGTAGCTACATTAACATATACACATGTACCTAGAAGATGACTTGTGTATGTTGAAATGTGGAATTAAATATATCAATTCCGCATTGGGACCTTATTTATGTAATTAATTCAAATGAGGAGTTAATGATGGATGCAACATCCTCTAAATGCAGTTAATGATGGGCCCATGAAAATTTCATAAACATAATCAATATACGTACATCAGTGGCAGGATATTGTAGTAATGGAATTTCATTGTACACAGTAACGTCTAATCCTGATTGATTTCTGGGCACCTACCTGTGTGCATGTACACAAAAGAATGTATGTTAAATATTTATTTCCAATTTAATTTTCTAAACGTCTGATCGTTAAAGACTTATGTATAATTGTGCAATGTTGAATTACACAAATGGTAGGTATGTACATACTTACATGCATTTCAAAGGCATAAATAAAACAAAGGAATTGTCTTAGTCAAAACTAAGTCAGTAGCTGCTAAACATGAAAATGTAGAATATAATATGAAAATGACATTGAAAACTTTTGTCTAACATCTCTAATGAACCATTAAAAAATTATGGACAATACTAAAATAAGTTTACATTTTGTAATGAGCCCTTAATTCTTGTTAATATGTGCATATGGCACACGTACATAGAAGCAGTAAAAGAACTGGCAGCATGTTAACGTGGCATTGTATCACGTGTTTTTTGTTTGAATTGTTGTGTCTCAACTTTCCCTTCCTCCATGTATTCAAATGGCGATTTTGAAAAATGTTCACCGCCTTTCGTTTTTAACAATATGAAGATATTAATGCACCTAAAAATCGGTGATTTTTAGGCTTACATAGCTAGGAGATAAAAATTTTGATTTTTTTCTTCAATAAAGAAATATTTAAATTTTGTTGATTATTTTTCATCTATTTTATATTTATCTTCTTGTTGAAGAAAAAAATCAAAATTATTATCTCCTAGCTATGTAAGCCTAAAAATTACCGATTTTTAGGTGCATTAATATCTTCATATTGTTAAAAACGAAAGGCGGTGAACATTTTTCAAAATCGCCATTTGAATACATGGAGGAAGGAATAGTTGAGACACAACAATTCAAACAAAAAACCCCGCATCAGCCAGCATGCTATTCCGCCTTAATGTATGTATGTACATATGCATATACATATGTCATTGCATTTATCCATTTCTGTTGAAGCATTGTATATAACTCCTTTGTTTTTTAAAGCTGACGTTGGTTAAAATTGGTTCAACGAGCATCTTTTAATATTTGGTATTGTGAAACTGTGAACCATTTGAAACCGCCGATGACATTGAACTGTGACACTCCCTCCATGGAAAATTTGGCGTTCAATAAAGATTGTGCACCACAAGTCTTGTCTCACTTGAAATAGGTTGTTGCATATAATCCTCGGTAACCTGCAATTATGTGCAGCGATAAGATTTGCAAAACCTTGAATTAATTAAATCAGTACAAGGTGTCTTGCATCTCTAACAAACATCATTAGTTCATAAGGGGGAATATGATACGATGAAGGGATGACAAGCAATTTTTCTATATTATTGGTTAACCACTGTTGTTTTAGTTGGCACTAATAAGCACTCGCCAATGCATATGCACTCGTATCATTGTCACTTGCCCTGTAGATACTCCGACAGAGCTGAGTTTCGTCATCTCCACAAAATAGCAGATTGATCCAAATCCAAATATGAATGATTAGATCTCCGTGAGACAAATACAAAGGGGAGAATCCTTCAGACGGAGTTCATCTTGCACGAATTAAGTAAATGAAATATTAAATAATAGAATATATTGATTTGAAGCATTAGTCTTCAATAGAAATTTGGACACTTGAAGTGTGCAGCTACGCCCCCGACCAAATCAATCGAATCTCGCTAGAGCTTATCAAAGACCAACAAAAAAGAGTAAATAAGCAATGTCTAAAAAGGTGCACAAGGGAGATATTGTGCACCTAATTGAACAACTTTGAAGAGTTAGACGGTCAAATGAAGATGATGAGCAGTCATGACATGACGGCTCAATGACATTTAAGGTTTACATATCGGTATTTTAACCCCTATGTTTTATGATCAATTGAAGGAATGGCTACTACGTTCTACAAACATCGGATAATTACAGAAGCAATAGTACACAATATTCGGGTTTTCTCTCTGCTCCCCAAGCCAATTATCAACAAGGTATTTAACCACTATTGTTACATATGTATTATTTTGAACATTTTATCAGGAAAAATATATTAAGAATAATTGCTACTTAAATATGATGCAATCCTGCAAAATGTAGTTAAGCGAAACGTTTTCTGACTGACCGATTCTTATCTGATCATGATTTAGATTTCTAAGGATAAAATCACTTCCATTCGACTGAACATTGCGACATTACATATTCGGATAAAATGATATTCAAACTTTTCACCGTTAACAAATTAAATAGAGCAAAAGCGATTTATGGAAATTAATAACGATAATCTATACATTCCCTAAAATTGTTGCAGGAAATGAAAAGGTATCGTTTGCATACAAGATGATTGGCAATTATTGCCTACTACTTGTTAATCACAATTCCTTGTATACTTTTGTAAAAGGTTTTTTAATAGTAGCTGAAATTCTGCCGTAAAAATATCTGCTAGGCAAGCTTTAAATATTTAAAAGTTGTGAATTAATATTTAATGCGCTCAACCTCTCTCGTGTCATGTCACTTGAACTGTCGACGAAAGTTCACCAAGAACAATCATCCATCAGTGACTACACTAAAAATGTAAATGTAATATGCGTGCAAGTTCTCGCAACATGTTACAATCTTCACCGTAGATTAAGCTGAAAGTATTTCACTCATTGGAAACGCTTGTTCGTCAAGCCAGAAAGGAAGTGCTAGTAGATAATAAATGACTCGCATTTTTTTACTCTAATGCTAACAATAATTTAAAAAATACACCCAGTAAAATATGATCGGATTGATTTTGGAAACATATAAACAGGTCCCAATGTTTTCTCCCAGAAACAATACCGAAGTTTTTACTGCTTACTTAAATAAATGTAATTTATAATTAATATACAGCTCAAATACTCAAAATACATATTTATAAGACAAGTTGGGCGGCATAACGCTCAACTTTGTAGGATCAAGCTTTCCTTTTCGCATGGGCAAGAAGTTTAAGAGTGAATCTGCCTTTTTTAGCGACGAATTACGATGTATGTAGGGTGAGATACTTAACGAAAGGGAAGTTGATCATCATCGAAAAGGGGCACAAAGGGACCCACTTCCATTCACCCTCTCATCCAAAAACACTCACCTTAAACAATGATAAAGATCAGACTGTTATGGTTTGATATTGGGCCGATGCTTCTTAAATACGTATGCCGATAAAGTTACGTGTTCATTAGCACAAGTGACATCCCAGAGGAGCAGAATACTTGTGTGGTCAGCAACGCGTTGAATAAAAGGCTCATTGATCGATTGTCCTTTGTTCATTTTTATTTTCGAGTGTGAAGAAAGCGTCGTGCACAAAATCAGATCGGCCAGTCAGACGCCCTACTGTTTCTCAACACCGCAACCAACAACAAATTCATTCAATTTTAATATCGAGAATTATCTCTCGTGAAAGCGTAATTTGACAGAATGCATAAACATGTGCATCTGGCTGAGATTGGATTGACGAATCGTTTGATAACTTATTGTTGGTGATTTAAATTATAGTCACTCTACATAAATATTACGTATTCAAAGTGAACTCTTTCCGATAATTATTCGTGGCGATAAGAAAGTTTGGATTCTTTCATTTTTGAAAAGCAAAGCGAGTTCAGTTGGCTGCAGAATTTGTGGTATTCTTCATACTAAAATCCAAGATGTGGCTGCCAACAAAGACCGACAAATATTTTGGATTCTCGGTGCTGTGCATTACCATTGTGATCCATGCAGTCCCTACATCGCAACAGCGCAGGCAAGGATACCAAAGTCGAAGACTGGGGGGTTTCACTGGTGGACAAGGATCCAGCAATTTAGACATTTTACATGCCCCTCAAGAGAAAATGGCGTCTGTGTATGGAGAACAACTCCAAAATTTGGACACGCCGGAATATGTAAATAACTGCATGATGCTTATAAAGTCTAATTAGCTAATAACATAAATTTGTGAATAGGAAACTCCAAATTATGATTTCAAATACCAAGTTCATGGGGGTGGAAATTATTTTGGACACGAGGAGACTAGAAAGGACTCTAGAGCACAAGGACGCTACCATGTCTTATTACCTGACGGGTAAAAATTATGTCTATAAAATAAAATTCGGCAAAAACAATAAGTAATCGGTAATTATTTTTGATTTAGGCGAATGCAAGTGGTAACATATTTTAGCGATCACACGGGTTATCATCCAACCATCCATTACGAGGTAGTGGGACTGCCACCCAAAGTCAACCAAAATCTAAATTTGATGCCTCAAAATGATGGATACAGATCAAAACGAAGCAGATATTACAAACATAGTAAAAGAGTGCATCTGAAACATCCGGTGTCCTTCAAAAGTTCTGACCAAGGGTTATTTTAACTTCTCACTGCTTATCGTTAATAAAAATCAAAATAAGCTAAGCATATGCACACGTTCATAAGTTATGAATCATAACTATACTTCATTTATTGCTGGGATAAAAAATATTTTAAATAAATAAATAAATAATATTCAATATTAAATGCATCACAGTTTGACTAATAAGATATAACAGTTTTGGCACAAACACTGACCAAATAAACAAATGGTTGGAGAACATGAGCAATGTGACAGAGTAAATTATGCATTCCACCCCATTCGAGAGTAAGCTTATCACAGGGAGTGGATTAGAAATTTTGTTCCGATATCTAGGTTTCTTATTTGACAAGACATGGTAAGTAGAATTGTTGGAGGTAGTGGCTTTAGTATCAGACCTACAACGGAACATTTGAGGTTAATTTACTTAAGTTAATAATTTAAAACGATGAACACAGATAAGAAAGTCATACCTGATGGATGCAAAATGTAGATATACAAGAAAAGGATTTCCATATGTATTTAGGAAAATAAAAATCGCGATTAAAACATTTGAAGCAAATGATCCAAGACCAATATAACCAGCACTAACATCGATCGTCGCTAATCCGTTAGAATTGCCCTGAAAAATTTGGAAGGATTAGATAAGTAATTCCTGTAAGTTGATAAAGAACCATAATATACCTGGTAAAAAAAGGAATTATGGGCAAACCAAACAAACGCAACCTGAGTAGACAACGGTACATTATTTGCAACTTTGCTTAAGTTTGTTTGGGATTCCAATTTCAGCATTTGATGATGATGGAAAAACGAAATGAGTTCCAACAGTCCTGTCAACAGCAGTCCAACTACCAATATATTTTGCTGACGCTGAAGATGCAGAACGACTAGCAGAATTCCAGTGAAGATACTTTCTCTGGCTGATCTTCTCCACAATGTAATTATTGAGTGAAATAGGATCATTAAAAATGTGATTTGTTGAATACCCACTTCACCAAAAAACCTGAAAATAATTTATTTACTTATAGTTGTAGCCTTTCATACATGTGTATTGACAACATTAAAGATGCAAATCTTACGAAAATGGCCATAGTTTTGAGAGAAATTCGCTCTTATTCACAATTTTGCACCACCAGGTCAATCCGAGCGAAATAGCACAAAGTTTTGTATCCCTACCCGAATAAACTAGAAATCTCCAAACAAGAATAGTTCCAATCAGTGCAGAGAGCCATGTCAAGTTTTCCCAAATTATAATGTCGTTTATGTCCGGTATATGACTCCATTTATCCCCAGTCTGATTGAATGTAGTTAGAATTCGATGATAAAATAAAACCTTCAGCAGTTTCCACGCACTCATGTAATCAGTAACATTGTACCAATAAAGGTTTAACATGACACAGCTAAATATAAAATAACGGATATAATGTTCTTCTTCTATAAAACTAGAACTGAAATATATAAGCAAAGGTGGAAGTATTGACAAAATCACAGCATAATTTGCTCCATTCCACACAACCGATAGCATCCGTGCAGTTAAGAAAAATGCTACGCCTTCAACAATAATCAATAGAACTACACCAATCAAAACATAATGTCCAGAAATTGTTCCCTGTTCCTGCCTTAAAGACCTTAGTGCAACGGCCAGTTCGTTTTCGAGTTCAATATACTTTTTAATCGAAAGTGGCTTCTCAAGTTTGGAAATCTCGTTGAACCATAGTCGATAAGTTGCAGCAATTCTTGCTTCACCAAGCATTTTCATCAAATGTTTACAATTATCTTCGTATGTGTGTGCTAGCGTTTGACTGGATTGGAAAGATTCTACAATTTCTAGTATCAGTTTCCCTTGTGATTCTTCTGGCATTCTCAGCCTCCACAAAGCAGCCAATGTGGGAGCTATTAGAATAGCAAATATTTTTCATCAAATTATGTATGGCCATGCATGATTTCTTACTCTAAAGATTATTTAATACAGAAAATGGAGAATTCCTACCAATATCAACCTGGTTAATTGAGGAGACTATCGGCTTCAGATTCTTCATGTGCGAGATGCTAGTAATAACAGCTGCCAAAGGGGTAGTAATTTCTTCGTAACTGCTTCCCCCATGTCCTCCAACATTAGCCATTCCATGATCACCAGTGACGATTATAACACTTTTATTTGAATGACCTTTTAACTTTGAAATCCTGTTGTAAATCTTTTGAATGACTTTGTCCATTTCTTTTAATTTGCTCTTAATTAAATCTGGTCGTTCCGTTGGACCGTAAACGTGGCCTATATGATCGAGGCCCAAGTAATGTAAAATTAAAAATTTGCAGTCTTGAATATTGTTTAAATTCCTAGTCACATTATTATCAACTTCATGAAAGTCTTTCACGAAAAAGGAAGTAACTCCTTCTGATTGTTGAAAGAATTTTGACGTCCCATCTTGATCGGCAGGAAATAGGCGAAGCTGCGTAGCAAAAAAATATATTAGCATATACCTCCGTCCGATCAACAGAAAACTCGACTAAGAATTGCCCTATCTTTATTTTGTCATCGATAAAATTATCAATGAAAAAATGTACATACGGGCAGAAGCCCCAAATGTCTTACCCATGTCTCATCCCCGAAAAAACAAATTCCCAAATCATTTCTGTTCTCCCTAAGAAGTTTAATAATGTTGTCCTGCGTTAGTAGATTAGAAGACAAACTATTATCCGACGTCTGTAAATTCTTGAGAATGTCCAAATACGTGGGTGCCTTTCCAGTCATCATGGTCTGTACAATTATAGGATGGCAAATGTAATGTAGTTATAATTATTAGAAATGTTTAGGTACACATGAATAGAAAGTAGCTTACCTTAACCCTTGGAAGCGTAACCGTTGGCGAGTCCACCGTGACGTTATACAACAATACACCAGTCTTTTTGTGATTTTTCAAGGAAGTTAAAAGGAAGGGAAAGTTAGTCGGGGTCATCATGTCCACTCTCAATGCGTCCACAATGATCAAAACTACTTGATTAGGCATCGTCTCGGGATCAATAACTTGCTTATAATCAATTTTGTGTTTCGAAGTATCGTCGCCATTTATATTGTCTTGCTGCTCCTGATGGAGGTTCAACTCCAAGTTACCCACAATTCCCAAAAATAACAACGACAGCCCCACCACTTGACCCAGAGCCACGAAGCAAAGGGCTATCTTGTATCTTACAATTGTTAGCGACATTTTACAGTGTGATGTGCAATATTTATATTTGTAATTATTCAGTCTTGCGTCACCGGAAGAAAGTAAACACTTAATCCATTCTGGTCAACCAGAGCCCCATCCCACAGCAGCATTCATGAAAGATTCTCCCATTTTCTAGAAACCATAAAATTAGATCAGTATCAGTGAATCTGTAACTCATCAGTTGTGACACAATAATTACATGAATGAATAACAAAATGAACTTCAGAAAAAGTAAAAAGTTACTTGAGAATATGTGTAACATGTTGAGAACTGAGAACAAATGGTGTGATCTGGACTAACTAATCACTAGTTGGTCTGCATTGTAATTTCTTCTAATTTCCCTTTTACAGATGCTGGAGAAAGCAACTGCCAGAAGTGAGGGTAGAAATTGGGGGTGAGTTGTTGCTGGGAGTGTTTTACTATATGTGTCACTGAAAGAGCAACTCTCTCCCGCAACCGCAAACCGGCCGTTCTCCGCTTTCCCCGCACAACTTTCTCTTCCGAACCTAAGTAGCTCACTCGCAGTGCCAGAAGAGACGCCAAGAAATCCACGTCTCTCTTTTATTGTTCTTAAATATTGCATATTCATATGTGGATACGATGGGTATCTAATAGCATTTGTACGTACAATAATTATAAGCGTGTTATTATTACTCATCATATTACATAATTATAAGCATATCATTATTACTGTATGCAGTGTTTATTTAGGCCGAGTCATAGGGTCACAGTCCACTTCTAAATTTTTGTCAGATGGCCCAACTACTATTCATAATCTACTATTACTACTATTCAACTACTATTCAAAAATGTTCCCATAATCTAGCATTCAAAATTTCAGCTTTCCAATTTGAAAAACTGTATGGGTCAGGATTCATCTTGCAAAAGTATTCCTAAATTTGACCTCGTATTCTTTAGTTTGAATGTGCCCTTGCGCCTTAATGGATACCAAAATTCAACTTTCTGCAACAAATTTAAAAAATTAGTTTGGTCACCCTATTGGGCCTTAGATAACAAAATCGTAAAATCTGCTTCGTATTTGTTAATCTGACCTGCCCCTGCAGGACTATGCCAAATTTAAGGCTTCCCCTTCCAACCTCTATGACCCCCACCGGTCAACCACTAACCCCTAGACCGATTTTGCCCAGCTTCGGCTTAACTTGCGGTTCCATATGCCCCGACTCGGGCTAGAAAGATGCATCTTGCACATTTCATAGGACAGAGATTCGCACGCAGTGTAATGTGTAACGTTCTAAAAATAGAAATTGCACACACATCTGAGTTTACAGAGAACCGAGGAAGTAGTATCTTATTTATGCACGTTTTAGGCGATTAAAGATCCTCCTCTCCTATATACAGTATTGGTACATGCCTTGAAAAATTTACAAAAATGGGGGAAATAAATACAGGAAAAGAGAAAGCAATCAATAGGACCACATCAGCGACTTTGGAACCTTGGCAAGTCGTCCTTTCCAAATCTACAGATCGGTGGCTGTACGTTTGGAATAACAAATTGTTCACGGACGTCGCATTCTCGGTTGGGTTTGACGAGGAAGTGATCGAATGTCATAAAATATTGCTCGTTCTTCATTCGCCCGTTTTTGAAACAATGTTCGGCCAACGGTGGCAATCGAAAGAAATCCACATGCAAACAATCTCCCTTCCTGACGAGGAGATGGAAATTTTCAAATTTTTTCTCGAATTTGTATACACTGGCTCCTTCTCGACCAGTGATATCGACAAACTCATTTCAGTTCTTGTCCTTGGGAAAAAATACATGTGCAACCAACTCATAAAGAAATGCATCGAACAGCTAACGGATGCTCTCACAGTTCAAAACGTTATGCAAATCTATCAAGTTGCCGAGCTCATGGATGAACCTGATCTCAACAAGGCGACCGAAGAATATATTTTGCACAATGCAAATTCACTCTTCACTTCTGGAAAAATTACCAAAATTAACAAGACTGACTTGGGAAAAATTTTGAAAAACGACGAACTTAACGTAGCTGAGATTGATTTGTTCAATGCAGGTTCATAAATAATTCTCTTCAGGAAGTTATACAAGTTTTGTTACATTATATTTAATACTTTTATTATTCTGCAGTTTACTCGTGGGGTCGAGGTGAATGTTTGAAAATGAACGGAAATCCTGACGATTCATCCTTCATGTATGACGTACTAAAGGACGTGATTCCACTCATTAGATTCACTAACATGAGCCCTGAAGACTTTTCTCTGCAAGTGGTACCCAAAAATATTTTGCCATTAGAGGACACCGTCACCATTTTCAGGTAGTCAATTATTATTACAATTATTATTTTCCTCTATTATTCAATAAATAAATTTTATATATTGCACTATTAACAATATAAAAAACTTCTTCAAATCCCTTTGAATGTGGAAATGCCCCCGATGCGGCGTCATTAACAACTCTTTCGTGTACTCGATTGTCGTGGTTGAGCTGAAGATTTTGTCTTTTTGTCTGGGGGTTCATCATCTTGTTCCTCAGAGTCTTTGTCCTCTACTTCTTCTCCTTGATGTTCATTCTAGGGGAGCAATACATGATTAAAATAATGCCACTAAATAACTAAAGTGGAGTACATACTTTGTAGTGTTTGACAGTGGTGCTGTAAAATGAAGAGGAATAGTAACATCCTGATGCAGGGCAAGTGTGCGGTTTGAGTCCTAAGTGGGAACAGGCGTGTTCACTGTAACATCAATAATAATAATATTAGCATAATAATTCCCATGAGGCCATGACATACAAAGTGAATTACCGAGAAACTAACAACCCGGTGTGCATTTTCCCACACTCTCGTCCACTATCTCGTCCCCAAATGCACCTATACTTGATGGCCTTTGACCCCTCTTCAAGTGGGAGAAGCTCCATCAGGGCATCACATTTTGCAGCGTCCTCCTCATTAATATCGGGGATCCCGAATGTATTCCTCTTTGGTGGTTCTGTTCCTGGGTGGTACATGGCTCGATGAGAATGTCGGCTAGCTGGTGTTGCAAAACTGCAGGGACACAGATTACAAGGGAATGCATCGGAGTAGTGGCTTGACTAGAAACATTAATATTATATACAATACCATTGAAATTGTTTGAAAAAATAAGAAATGCATACAATCATGTGTTGCAAATGACCACTCGCGATCCCTTGGATAACTTCACCACATAATACACATTTGCGTCTTTCTTGTGATGGTGGGAGTGGTCTAGGGTTTTGTAATTTTTCTGGAGGAGGAGGAGGAGGGTTGTTGAAGTAATCCTCCCTGATTTGCGGAAGACGATGGAGAAATTGCCGCAAATGTGCATCAATCTTCTCGGCATATTTGGCCAACACTACTTCTGAGCTGTATGGGGCTTTGGCACACACTACTCCAAACTTCCTCCGAATGCGGAATCTGAGTTGGTCAGCGACCCAAGAATCATCCGTGTAGATGTGGAAAGAGTAGGTCAACTTAGGGTCAACTTTCCAACCCCATTGTTCTTCAAGTTCTCTGTAAATTGTTCATTTTTGTAAATGCATCTTGATAATGAATGTTTGTAAGATGAACCATTTATCACTTACTTAACTTTACAACCATCGAGGTCCAAAGCGTTGCTATTAAAATTACCGACGACAGATTCCGTTTTCACTATAAGACACGTACTTGCTGGCCCCTTATTCACAGTCATGTCCCTCATATCCCCGTGTTTGTCAGTCAGAAGAGAGAAGTAAATTTGAGTTAGTTTCTCTAAAATAATACAATTTATTAGCATTTGGTTCACAAATTTATTTAGAGTGAAGTGTAAATAATTAAAATTACTTTTAATATCCTGCTCCGTCATGACACGCATTTGGATGTCATCATTGTCGTCTTTCCAGAAGAATAGATCCACCCCCACTTTAGGCTCCTGTCGCAATAACTCACTATCACTAATCATTTTGTGAACAACAATAAATTATATTTATGATTCAAAGAGAAACAACAAAGAACTAAATTATTGGTTTGCCGGGTTGCATATGAGAGAAGCTCTTTGTTGTTTTTCCCGCTCCTTCATTCCAAATCTAATGTGTATTTTCAGATTGATTTGTATTTCAGATTTATGACGACGCCACAAGAGAAAAGAGAGGAGGTAAAGCCTGATGTGCAACTTAAATTCAACACGACAAAGAGGTCTCTGAGCTATTTTGTCTACAACTTGCGACGGCTAAAAGGACACGGCTTTGACTTTGGAAGACAATGGAACAATTTTTGTTTTCAAACAGATCGTGATATTAGAGTCATCAGTTTAGGATTTTTCAGAGCCATCGAACCCAACGCAGTGTTGGACGTAGGAGTGAAAATACTGAATCATGAAATGACTGACACATTGGCAGAAATTATGGACACGAATGTAAAGAGTTTAGTAACAGAAGATGTTTTTCATATCAAATTCAAGACACCAGTTCGGATCAATAAAGATGTTTTGTACACGATTTCGTACATTGTGAAAGGAAAAGAAACATTCTATAAAAGTTCAGTTGGGGAATCACAAATTGTTGCCAATTGTGGTAATTGACAATAATAATAATAATACTAATCATGATTTATAATCGATATTAATTGATATTAGAATTGTAATATTTAGGTGCAGAAGGAAAAGTAACATTTAAATTTAAAGAAGCTGTGCAAGATAATGACATGGATCAAGTTCCAGAGATTTGCTTTCGTTTATAACACCAAAAGAATTTGTTTTACTGAATGAGTTCATTTTCATGCAAGAAAAAAACGCGATGTGTTTATATGAAAATTACTAGTGTTTTAATCAGTCTTGTTTACAGTAAATAACATTATTCAATTTGTCTCATTACAATACAAATTAAATATATCACTAATAGTTGATGTAATGTCTGCTTTGTCGAAATGTTTACCGCGTTTAGTATCAGATCATCGCCCTTAGACATCAATGTCATCGGTATAATCATATTCTCTAAAACGACACACAATTAAACAAGTATTAATTATTAGTTACTAATAAGTTTGGGAAATAGTACATTTCGCTTACGGATTCGACGGAGGAGGAAATGGCCGTAAGGAAACTGGAGTACTTGGATCTGTATAATAGCTCGAGAAATCAGGAACTGGTCGCTGGAAATAAATATCCTCTGGGACTGGAAGCTGAGGTTTTGGCTGAGACTTATTCTTCTTCTTTTTAGGGCGATTTGGAAGATTGCAATAATACTTTTTGGGAGGTTTAAATGTCCCAGGAGCAATCATACCAGGCACTGGGAACTAAAATTTGATAGTGCAAACCAATAAATAAGAATCTCATTGCATTAGTAGCCTGGATCTAATAAAATAAAACTCTCACCTGTTCTCCTGCTTCAGGTGTAAATGACTCGACCGCATGACGTTTCATTGGGATTCTTTGTCGTTGATGATCAGTCAACAGCTGCTGTTCACCAGACGAATTCGATGATGGTATAGAATTAGATTTTTGAGGCGACTCAAATGAAATACCGGCATTATCTAAATTGTCGAGTGATACATCTTCATCAAATGATGATGAGATGTCTTGATTTGGTTGTTGCTGCTGCTGTTTGTTATTAAACTCGTGTCTTTTGAAGAACAATGGTTCAATAGTAACATTCGAATAATGATTATTGCCACGTCCCATCGCTGCTGGAACATCAGGACGCGGTGGTGGATCAACTCCATAAACAATTGGTGGCGGTGGAGGAAATCCAGCTCCAACGGGGTCTCGTAAAACTCGTCCTTCTGGATTATAAAAATTAGCCCCTCGTGAGGGTGGTGGATAAAATCCTCTCCCCGAGAACATGGGTCGTGGTGGACCGTTACGCATGTCATTTCTTGGAGGACCGCTGTACTTCTGTGGATAGGCGTCATACCAAGGCATTTTTTTCTTTGGGCTGTAACTTATAGCCGTGTTCAAGATTGGCTCCACAGTTATTTGCTGACCATCCCATGCATACCCATTTAAATCATTTATAGCTGCTCGCATATCACTAATGGCTTCGATTGTCTAAAATAATGCATCAATTGCAAAATTCCGTACTGTTGTTCAAATAATATATAATAAATATTTTGACGTACCACTATTGCTTCATTATCTGTAATCTCCACGGCTAGTATGGCGCCATACTTTCTGAATAGATCTCTCAAAGCATTGGCCGATAAAGCAGTGGGTACATTTCGAACTCTGAGACGGGTTGACGCCACACTAGGGCCTTCCTTGTGTAGCGACTCCTCCACAGCCATACATTTACCATTGATTAGCTTTGAATTCAGCATCAGAATAGCATTCCTACCACTGATTTCATCTTCCATGTGCTACAAAAATCGTAATTTTGAATGGAAAAAGTAAATACAGGATTAAAAAATTATGTAACGTCAAGTTGAGTCCTATTAAAGGGTATCTCAACTTTGCGTTTTATTATTAACTCACAACAAAGGCCAACGTGTTCTTAAAAATCTGGCATTCCACTACTCGTCCACAAGTTTCAAACACAGTTTTCAGCTCTTCCTGCGTTGTTCCATAACCCAGGTTTTTTACGAAAAGTTTGAACGTTGTAACTTTGTCTACACGTCCAGCCATGGTGCATTTGGTACCTTGGCCTACCGACCCTAAAATAATTAACACTAGTTCATACAAAATTATAACATTAATTGGAAATTATCTAATTGTTCCTGATGAAACTTAATCCTTACCAAAGATAACTCAAACTCAACCAACGTAGTGTCCAGTATCCAATTCAATGTCCATTTACATGTTTACATCTGTTTGTGTGTGCAGCATAATCCGCAGGCTTCGCTTCGCGGGTATCCGGGAATTCACCAGATTTCAATTTGCCAGATTGCCAACTTGTCACAACGAAATACCCAGCTTGTGACTTTATTTAATTTAATTTGTGCAAATTTTTGGCTGGTTTAATTTTAATTTTTAGTAAACTAGACATTATTTACATACGCGAGACACGAAGTATGATGGACTGTTAGGAAGATCGAAAAGTAATAAAGAAACGGCGAATGCGTTTTTGAATGATACAAAATATAAGAAGTGAAATTTGAACTACGATTTAATGAAATTGATTACCCAGTAGTGCATCCAATGGAGTTGTTCAAAAGTGGATTTAAAACTGTGTTGGGTGGGGGCGGTGAGCAGAAAAGTACTGGACAAGATGCCACAGGAGCAGAAACGGTATAGCATAAAGAGCTTAACGTGTTTAATAGTTCGTGATACAAAATGACCTTTATCATCATATGATTTGACTAATATGTAATTTAATTAATGCAGGTCGAAAGGTTGGTGGAACGTTTAATTACGTCTACACTACTCGATGACCGTCGAGACGCTTGCCGGGCGCTCAAGTCCCTGTCACGCAAGTATAGAGTTGAAGTTGGGGCGCAAGGAATGGATGCCATTCTCAACTTGCTAGGCTTGGACAGAGTCGACACGGAAATTATGACCTACGCTGTAGAGTGTCTCCTCAATGTCACCTCCCCAGAGTTACTGGATGACGAGGACCCCAACGTGAAAGGAATTGGGGAACAGTTCACCGAAATTATTTCCAAGAAGCCAGAAAACATAGCCAACTTACTTTTACTTCTTGAAGAATACGACTATAAAATTAGAGTTCCTTTAATTAGGCTAATGACAAACTTGCTGACCAATAGACCGAAAGATGTGCAAGAGATTTTACTTGTTAGTCCAATGGGCATTTCCAAGATCATGGATCTTCTCAGTGATTCCAGAGAATTTATTCGCAATGAGGTAGGCACAAGTGACAAGGATTGCTGTGATAATTTAGATTGTGATAATCTAATCATTGATTATTCTTACGTTTTCTAGTCTATTCTTCTACTGATTGCTCTAACCCGGAATAATGCTAGTATCCAAAAAATTATTGCATTTGAAAATGGTTTCGATCGGATTTTGCAAATAATTCAAGAGGAGGGCTACTCGGATGGAGGCCCTGTGGTGGAAGATTGCTTATCATTGTTTCTGAACCTTTTGAAAAATAACACTAGTAATCAAACTTTTTTCCGTGAAGGTAAATCAAACCGTTTGCTGATCAGAAAATCTATCAGATTAAGTTATAAATTGAATATTTTCATATGTTTGCTTTTGTTTAGGGAATTATGTCAAGAAGTTGGTTCCCTTCTTCAAGCTTCCCGATGATCCAGAATTGGGCTGGCCAACACAAAAAGTTTCAAATTTTTATCACATGTTGTTTGTTGTACGAAGGCTCGTTTCACCACTGAATCCTAGCCATGTTACTCAAGCGTGCCAAAAATCTCTGAAGGCTTGTGGAATTTTAGAGTGCCTCTGCAATATCATCTTGGCGAACGGAATACCGTCGGAAACATTAACTGAAGCAATCGGTAACAATTTTACTAACTGAATCGGATAACGTAATTAAAAAATCACTAAATGACACTAATCGCTTATATCTCGTACATAGCGACTGTTGCAGAGGCAATGCGAGGTGGCAGAGATAATCAAGAATATTTTGGAAAAGTAGAAGCACCTTCAGATCCTCCAAGGTAAAACATACAAAAAGTAGTGATATAGTAGTTTACCAATTATGATGTACATTTAAAGATACTCGAGCTTGAGCTCCAGTATTACACAGCAATATTTTTTGCTGGAAATATGTGATCGAGCTCGCAATGAATATTGCTGATAAGATCTGAAAATATCGTAAAAATAATGTAATTAAGGTGTATAACGTTGTTTGTATGAACATATTTCGATGATTTGTATTTTTGCAGGCCCGTTTTAGTCATTCTACTAATGACACTGGTTAACGAACGTCAGCCATTGTCCCTTCGATGCACGGTCCTGTATTGTATTCAATGCTACTTGTTTAAAAATGAAAAAGGTCAAAATGATGTTGTCAAAACCTTGCTCCCAGCGTCTACAGAAGGTATCTTCGTGTACTTATTTGGCTTGCGCGAAATATTGTGAAATGTAAACGTAATTGGCATGTGTATAAATTTCAGCCTCACCTGGAACAGTCACATCAGGTCAGCTTCTCTGTACTGGCCTTTTTAGCAGGGAACTAACCAACAATTGGTTTTCGGCCATATCGTTAAGTCACGCGTTGCTTGACAGTCCAACGCAAAGGGAGAATCTGCTGAAAGTTCAACTTGCAACAAAGGCAAACACTCCAGCGTCTACACTTATGAACCATCTTATTCTAGTTCTACAGCAGGTAGTGGTTATACAATATTCTGTTAGCCAGAAGTCATAAAGTAATATTTTCTTCATGGCGATTGTTGTTGGTTGTTCTTACAGAGTACGAAATGGCAGATGAAAATTGGCCTCTTACAGTTTATTTCATTATGGTTAGAGAATTCACAACCAGCAATCACACATTTTCTCTCTAATCCAAACTCTGTACCATTTTTAATCAACCAGGTAATGGATAAAATATTTCTATGCCAAGTGAAAATCGATAACAATATACATAATTAACCCTGCTTGTATTTTTTCAGATAACATCTCCCGAGTCAGATGAAAAGGAAGCTCTTGTGAAAGGAGTATCTGCATTCGTTATTGGTTTATGCTTGTATTTTAATCCAAACACAGTGGCGGCATATTCTAAGGTAACTTCGGTACTTAAGATTGATTGTATTGAGTTTGGTGATTTTTTTTACAAATCGTGCTTACAATTTACGTGCAGGACAATTTGATCCAACTGATTAATAACAGGATACGAATGGAAACATTAACTGATGGTTTAGGGCAAATTTCAAAATCAGACTTGTACTTACATTCCCTAAAGCACCCACAACTGCTTGCCAAACACTCTTCTGACTTGGTTTTTGATCACTCATTCTGCATGGTCTTCAAGAAGTATGAATCGCTTATCGTGCTCCAGCTTAGTGAGCCCAACAACCCGCACCATTCGCATGAAAACTCTAGATCAGACATTAACAGCATGGGTCACATGGTCAACAATCATCAATCCCCAAACGATGTGATAAGTCGTTATAAAGAAGTCATTAGGACTCAAGACGAGACTATTGAAGGGTGCAAGCAAGAAATTGGGGAGCTAAAAGACAAAAATCAGGAGTTTCAGGTAATCGTGTATTGCAATTTTGTATATGTATTGAGTAGACGGATAAATTATAGAAAAGGATTAATTGAGTTTTATATGTTCAGGGAAAAATTGAAGAAATGCTAACTGAAGTCAACCAGCTGAAAAGTCAATTGGCCTTAGCACAAGCACACAGAGAAACCTTTGAACTGAATCAACAAAATAATAGAGCTAACATTTCAATTGAAGACCATAACGCTGCAATTGCTCAGAAAGATTACCTAATTCAACAGTTGGTGAGTCTCTGGTTGAATAATGGTTGAACACATGTTTTTGTTTTAAATAGGAAGCAAATACTTATGATTTGTATTTGGGGATTTCTAGCAATATAGAGTTCACGAATTGGAACAGTCACTTAGTACGTCCACAAAAAATCCGATACAAGAGGAATTGACTATTAAATTGGAAGAGGAAAATAAAGTGATGGTTGAAGAACTTGATAAGATGAAAAAGGACCAAGACGAACTTTTGGAATTACTTACGGAACAGGACAATAAAATTGCCACTTTAAAAACAACGCTTCGTCAGAATGGGATACCGGTAAGAATTGACTAATGATAATAAATCTAAAGAATGAATGACAATTTATGTGATTTTTGTAGGTTGAAGATGACCAAGATGATATTTTAGACGAGCATGAGACGAACGGACATGGCAGTGGCGATCTAGGAGAAAGCCTGTTATAGTGACGAAATTTTAAATACCCAAATTAATCATGTATGGAGAATCACACCAATGCATAATATCGATTTGCGAATTGCAAGGAGTCTTCCGACTTGTTTTATCGTGATGATTACATTTTAAACTAGCCTTGATTGTATGCAAAAAACAAATATATACATGTGTAAAATAGCAATACTGGTGAACAATAGAAACAAGGATTTATTTTTATAATTCGTATATTACTTTATTTGTTACATTTCTACTATTCATCTCTTCCCGTCCGGATTTATTATAATGATATTTATACTAATAATAAACGCTATGTCAAGTACCATACATGTAAGTATATCGTTACAGTCAGTATAGCATAGTAATAATAGTTTGTAGAGCTAGACGCTACGATAGAGTTTCAGTTTCTTGTCATAATCTAACACGTTAAATTATAATGTTAGTTAATGATTTTGTTCTAAAATGATTGCTTCAACGTTAATAAATGTGTTCTACAAAGAGTCGTCGTCGTCTGCTATTATGTATGCGCTGTTATTGGCCTGGCATTTTGACTTTAAACTTGTCTTCGAATTATTATTTATTCCATGCTAATAAAGCAAGGCCACTAACAATATATTTTATACTCTGACGTGTTCCATCAACGCCAACAATTATTTTTATGCATTTACCATAAATTGTGTTAGATCAGCACTGAGTACTTTTCAACGCTGACAATCTGAAAGACTGCTGCTGACAAGTGTTTCTTCTTCTTCTGAGCAGTCCAAAGTCTTGGTTATTAAACGGGAAGATGCGCTACGGAGAGAAAGTACGTAACGTAGTCCTTTATAGAGTATAAAATAGGGCAATTTCATAATTTCATAGGGTTTTGTAGGAAAGATTCCCCTAAGGTTTTTAGTATATATTCTCGTTTAAGGTTGGAGAAATCATGCGACTAAAAACAGTGGGGAACTAAATAGCTATACGTGTGGTATGGAAGGTACTTGGGTGGGGTAATTATTGGGGGACATTGTTATTAGTTAGCTATCTATACACATCACATAAGTACACAAATCTGTATCCTTGGCTTGAAGAATGCATTCAAGATAAATCTAATGCCCCTTGCAATAAATATTTGCAGGGAATACATTTCATTGATATCGGACCTTGTAAAACTGCATGGAATTCTTCTACACGTAAGATGCATTTGTTTTTTGTTTTTCTCTCTTTAGTAAAAATACCTTTTCTAACAACTTTTGCATTCTATGCAAGAGTAGTGAAAAACTTGTCACACGAATGCTATTTGTACATATAAAAATTGCCCACGATCACTAATTGCATGTTAAATACTGCATGTCCCTCCATGAGTAGATATATTTGTTATGTAGCTGTTTAGCAAATTTTGGTATTAATTAGCATTGCATATCGTATCGCGTGCTGAAGTCCGTTCATGAGTTGTTTGTCATGCATAATAATCCAACTGATCACATATTTTTCCTTTGAAGTAAAACTTCCTTGTCCTGCGTCTAAGTAAAATTTCTTCCACATTCTTGGTTGAGCGCTGCAATAACAATTGAACGCGGATGCTGGCATATTAAAACATGGTGATTGCTTCTACTTTAGCGCAAACTGAGGACGAGGAAAACTAATCATCATCATCGAAGGACAATGCTTGTTCTAACTCTATCATATTCATTTTCATCGATATCGCTATCGCTAATAATTTGTTCAGTGTAGGGAGTTTCTGCGTTTATAGAAGTTTCTGAATTGCCAAGTGGAACGGCAGCATCTTGCATCATGACATTATCCACGGGAAATTTGTTTTTAGGCTTATCAACACGAGTTTTAGTCTTTCTGTCGCCGCTGCTGCTGCTGAGTAGAATGTCGGCAATTAAACTTGAACTTAGGGTCCCACTTTCATCCCGATCTCTATCAAAGTCCAGTGGTGCCAGTGGTATTGGTGCCGGGTTGGTGGTAGTGAAAGTAAAGGATGAAGAGTTGGTCGTTGGACTTTCACTTTCATTTCTCATGGATCTTATTCCCATGTCTCGTTCCAAAGACGAGTCAACTTTTGGAAGAGGCCCTGGTCCGGGGTCAACAGTGATCACACTTCTTGTCAGAGACGAGCCCCCAAAGTTATTATTGTTATTGTTATTGTAATTTCCACTACTCTCATCTTGATCATCTATTAGCAGAGGGGGTGGTGGAACTGGGGTCGAAAAGTTGCTCGTGTTCGTTAGGTTGAGGTTCGGCGATGTGTGCTGAATCACCCGCATCAAATTTTCGTTTTCTTTCCGCACTAAAAGTAACAGAAAGAAAGTAATCTCAGTTTAAGGTTATCTTCTACCTTCTCACAAGTTAAGTGTCCACCTCTATTCGTAAAACTAAGCAAATAAATTTCAAGGATTGCTTTATCATGCCATAGCATGAAAGATATTGGAAAGCTGCAAATGCTTTTAGACTATTGAAGCAAAATAAATAAACATAATTCCTGTGATTAATTGAATGATTAGCATAGTTTAATACAATCCATTAAAAAACAAACCAACCAAGGACCCCGTTAAAATTGGGCCTTATTACTCGCAAATGAAAGGCAGCATTAGAAGCAATTGCACAAAAGTGAAGTCTACCGTTCTCCTCGTACCAGGAGCAGAGTGATAAATTATTCCGGGTCATGCCAGCCTCATTTCTTGTCCCAACGAAATCATACCACTTTTCCCATGAGTACGTATTACGTAGATATTCAGGCAGAGAGACAGACTATTTTGTATTCCCGTCATAAAACACGCTTTATTACAGTCGCAGTGTGTGTGGGGTATTTTCCACAAATGGGAGTAAAATAAATTCCATTTTCGTCCTTCCCCATGCAGCCCAGAAGAAGGAAAGTGCACAGCAGAGTGCAACAAAGGGAGGATGATTCTCAAATTGAGAGAAAGCAACTTTTTCATCAAGGTGGTGGTGGAATGAAATCGCTTAATGTTACTTACGCACGCTGAACAAGCTATTATAACGGATGAGAGGATTTTCTCCTCTTCCCCCTTGTTGCGCCTCTCCCACTTTCTCTCCTTCTTAAAGATGAGCATTAATTAAGCAGAATCACGTTTCTTGCTTGGAGTTGGATACACAAAAAATCATAATGTATATTTACAACGCTAATTGTTCCGTCTGGCCACGGAGAACTTTGGTAATTACGAGTAATTAGAAGCCAGGCTCGAAGATCCCATAGAAGAGGATTGAGCAAACTGGAGGGGAATATTAACGCAGCATTTGATGAAGTAGTTGTTGCGTTAGCGTGTTAAAACGCCAAGTGATCACATTTAGAATATGAGGCGATTGAACTGAAAAGGTGTATCAGTAAGGATCGGTTGGTGGTGGAAACTTGAGCTCTTTTTGCTCCTTTTGATTCTTTTGAGTATATAAAAAAATGATTCACTGTGTTCATGAAATTCTGCAATATTGTTTCTGCGTTGGTGCCTTCCGGAGATTTTGCCCAATATATTGTGCAAATTGTACTGTTTGAAATTCAAATGGATTCAAGGGAATAGAGAGCAGGGCAATACACAAAATGTTTTCGGTCGATACTGTATGGTAATAGGCCTTGGTTAAGCGAATGACTCAACAGCCCATGTTCTTCCATATTACTACACATCATTTTCCAAGTTTGGTTTTGTTCATGGAGAAAATAAATGAGAAAGCAAATGGGGAATAGACTTGAAGGAATTGTTTTTGTCATGTCTTCCTCGTCCTCCGTCCTCGTCCCACCACCCACAACAACAACTATTTCAATAAACGGAGATTTGCTTTGCTCTTTACAAAATGATCCCAATTTCACATGTAAACGATCGCCCATTCCATCAGGGGGAACTGGGAGAATATGTAAAATCCATCCCTACAGAACAAACTACTACACAAATAGCATAGCTTAATACTCGAGTCAAAAATTCTTCCGGGACATAGGAAGCAATCCACTTGGTAATGAAATTCGGTTGACAAAGTCGTCAGCATTCTTCAAAATTAAACATTGTTTATTTTTATAGGCACGGCGTAGAATTAACGAGAGATATGCAAAACGATGTGGGTTTTATGCATATTCGATTTTCATCGAATATGCATAAAACTTCACACGAAAAGATTTTATCACAGAGAAGAGAGCCAATTAATACAATAAGTATTATGCTTTTCTACAATACAACTATTTGATTCATCATACAAAGGAAACTACTACAAGAGACACCCTGCAAAGCATAATTGTGATGATGAAATAAACCGTAATAATGTTGGAAATACTTGGAAACAGCTTGCCCTGTAATACAGGGAAAATATGTAAGTACACATATGTAAATACATGATTTTGACATAATTTTTTTTACATCTACACACCAATGGTATGGCATTGAAGAAACGGATAAAATCGTCACAATATTTTGACATACTTTTGACCTCTACACATCAATGGTGCAGAATAACCGGAGAAAATGAACCCACAATTTTGACATAATTTCCAAGTAAAATTATTTCTAAATTGTATAATTATTTATTGCGTTTATTATACACTTTTGCATCGATTCTCGTCATTTTGCCTTACCTATTGTTCAATACCAGTAGTGTTACTTACTAATTGTGAGTTATTCAATAGGGGAGCAGCTCCTATTCAATTGGCATCAATTGAAAACTTTTTAAAAGACAGACGGACATGAGAAATTCAATGGTTCCCCCATATTACGCAGGTCAGCTATTAATAGTAAAAGGCGTCTGGTTTCGTACTAATCCTAAGTCGGATCAGCACGTTACACTTATTCACGACTCATATACGAGTATGCATATGTAATAAGTGGAATTGCCAGCTACTACATGTGGTGAGAACAATCAACATTTAATTTACTTTCCAACTTAATTATGAAACTTGTTTAATTTTACATTCGTTTCATACTCCTAAAATATATATGCTCTGTTTACTAAAGTTGATAGTTTGTAGAATTGAAACAAAATTATTTCCACACTAAACCTATTATTAGACTTTCACCAACTGGCTTACGTATTTTGCCTGCCACTGGGTTGATCTATCACAGTTCTGTGCTGCACCAGCCAGTTAGTCTCGTCATTTGATGGTTTCAATACTTGCAATCTCTTGCCTGCCGAGAAGAGTGACCCATTCCAACAACCTCAGAGCTCAATTCCAATTACTTTACCTTTCATCACGAGCAAGAAAATCCCACCCAAGTCCGACAATCTGGAAACTTTCCCTACCAACAACAAGCTTTACGATTCATGCACCGGGGACACACATTGTAAATTAGATTCGGATGGAGGTAATAAATCCTTGGCCTTGGTGTTGATGTTAACTTGGCAGTATATGTAGCGCCAAATTTGCATGCCGTCCTACCCAATCCTACGTATTTATCCAAGCAGCAAGCAACGCACAGTTTCATAATACGCACCATGCCCGCAATATTTAATATACTCATCCGTACCGTACAAAGTACGCACAATTTCAGCCCTGCCCCGTGACTAATCTGCATGCATAGTTTGAATATGAGGCCGGAACTACGATGCGTGTAATTGATGGGGAGTAAATTTTGACGGGAGTTGGAGAAAGTGATGAGATTCAAAACTTGATTATGCTCTCACTCATACCCTAATCCAATGAGTGAGCTGGGAATTTCCTTGACTGAACTTTCCTCAGGGAATAGCTGCGTCTTCTCGCAATTCACCTCTGGTGCTGAAGACATGTTTCAACTTTGTAAAGTTTTTATACCGTGGAGAAAGCAGTTTGCTATCCATAAGTTCCAAGAACAACAACAACCAGAAACGCCTGCCTGGCTTTATCTTATTCTGCGTACACGAGTGTAATAAGTCTCACCAAGAAGAAACACGAAGCATAATAATACCGAGGGTTGCATATCTACATATAAATTCCAACTACACGAGCAAGCCAGCTAGGCTAGCCCAAGCAATTTGAATATTTCTGTTCTCACACGCTCGGATCATTAATACGAGCTTTTTTGCAGCATTATGACAAAAAGGGTTTGAGCCATTTTTTACACGCGTACGCTACTTCTGGTCGTTTGAGTACAACAGGTCAAAGGTTAAAAAAGTTCACCCGAGTGAAACATCTTTATACTATTATCCAGTAAGTATAATTTGACAATGCTTTGGAGAAAGAGAGAGAGAGAAAATTTTAAACTATTGTAAGAATAGAATGTGCTGCTGGTTAAGCTGGTGAGTACAGAATTTTATGGGACAACTGCAAAGGGGTGGTGAATAAAGTGACTGAGTTTAACTTGAGCAGCAGCAAGTTTCACCAGAGAAAGTAATTTTCTCTTCTTCGGTTCCGGAAATGATGGTTATATTGAATCTCACTTTTCACGCTTCGTAGTTTTCCCATTTCATTCTATCACTTCCAATTTCAACTCTGGCTTGAACCTCGATTCTCGTCGTCTGTCTTCCCTGCGTATGTGTGGACGTGGGGAAGAAGACGAGTGGCAAAAAATCGGTTGATGCTTGCTAACTACACATCCATCACTCACTACTGATTTTCAACTCCAAGTGCAATTCGAGGCTGCTGAGATGCTGTGGTTGGCTGGTAAATGTAATAGTTCTGTATTCATGAGTCGAGATGTGTATGCAAAATACGTTCATGTTGTCACACTCAGCCAACTAACTCGTTGGAAAAGTTGGAAAACTGAGCAAAGTTATGATAAAGATTGACAGAAAGACTAAGAAATCTTGGTGCGGTTCTTTCGTACATAGTTTGTGCTGCACAATTATTTTTCTTGGCATAAATATTCTTGTGCATAATATTTATGTACGTATATATTCCCCAGATAATTTTAGGCTAACAATGCTCAAGCTATTTAATTTTTTCTCACAAAAACATCAGTTTGTTTCTTCCGTGGCCAACTGAGCGAATCATCATCTCACTATTGTGTCCCGGAATCAAAACTGTTTAATGGCCACTACATTCACACGCAATAAAATCCGAATGACTGACGAAAGTGCAATTAACGTGTTGAGTACTAATAGACAACAACCAGTTATACTCTGAAAATCCCATAAATTGCCAATAAACGTGATAACGTTCCAATAAAAGTTATGGTGAATCGACTACAAAGCCCTTCACCAGTGATTAAGGGTGCACAGACAATCTTTTTATCAGCAGAATATATGTGGTATTGGTAGCAGCTAGGCGTGAATGGGCACCATTCTATAATGCATGTACCCGTTGTGATGTATGACGATCAATACAATTTAAGGAATAAAAATGAAAACTTCAGAATGAAACGTCAGAATTTTAGTGGA